TGGTACCTAACACAAGCCAGTCTGTATTTGGGAGTAGGGCTGCAGAAGCTGCATCAAAGTAGGTTTAGTGGGGAAGCATAACCCATACAGGGCGTGCAAAGCTTCTTGGAGTGGTCTCAGCCCATGGTCACATCTGGGCAATTGCCCCACATCAGTGAGTGTCTTGATCGTGAAACGTGACTTCCCCTACCACTTGAGGTCTAGACCAATTTCAGGGAACCACAGCTGCTTAAAAATAAGCCAGTAATGCAAGTCTAGGAAAGGGAGGGGACACACCAGGGAATGTCCAGAGGTCACACAGAAAACAATCAGAACTGCCCCCAGCGGCCATTGCCTTAAACAGCTGAAGCCAACACTGGCTGCATAAAATTTAAAATTGCTCCTGGTCTTTTTTACCACGCGCTGCTCTCATGCATCAAACAGGCTGCAGGGACCTCTCAGAGCAATTCTGTTTTCATGGGACAAAACACATTCATATGCTTCTCCATCTGGAACAAACACTAACTCTTCATGTCTGTTTCAGACACACACCACCCCAGTGTCCATAAGGAAGGAGGTAAAAAAATGTCCTTGTATTAAATTTTTTATGTCTCACTGTTTTTCAAGACGAGTTAATTATCCCTTTTCCCCTCTTTGTATTACCTAGATTACTAAACTGAAGCTGTACAAAGGCCAAGAGGAAAACAAAGAATGAAATTGCCAATGATTAAACAGAGTTTGGTAATTTTGTGTTGAAGTTGTGATTGACTCTTGCTGCAAAAGTTAACGAAGTTAGAAGAAAGTAAAGCAACAGCTTGGCCAGATCTGCAGGATCTGTGGTACTCCTGGGTACTACATTTCAGCTCCATAATTCCCACAATCTTAGCTTTGTTTACAAAAGCAGATTTACTGGTGCTTATTTATATTTACCAAGGAGGGAACAGAAACCACAGCACAGTTGCAACCAGATCTCTGATCTCCTGTTCAGTGACTCACAAAACCGAAGATGCATTTTCAGGGTGGTACTTGCATTTGTAACGTTCTCAGTTCACCTCTGCCCTACCCTCAGAGCCTCTGCTTTTAAAGTGTACCAAATCCCTAGGTTTCTGAGAGTCTGTGTATAATCCTATAGAAAGCTTGTAATATCTTTGTTAAGACACAAATCTAAATTTCACTTGAAAATTATAGGATGCCTTCTGGGTTTTATTTAGCATATTCAAGTTGTGAATACTAATACAGCTACTGAAAAGAATCAGATCTAATTACAAAAGAAATTGTGACCTAATCTTCTCTCTTTATTGCTTATCAACAAGTTTTCAGATCCTGTTTGTGCCATTTGAACCCTTTTGGAAATCCTGATGATATTTTTCTACATTTATATACTGAAATGTGTACCTGGCAGTTTTGTGCCACTGAATCCTTAAAAATTTGTTTAAACAGACATGTGTGTACAACTGAAACAGAAGCAAAACCAAATCTCGATATGGATTTACCCTCTTTGTTCAAACGCTGGATGTCAACTACACAAAATACCGTAGTATTTTAGTACAGAGATGTAAAATCATTCCATACAGTCTTCCAAATATCCAACTTGCATTTCAGATATAGATACCAAGAGGGGAAAGTCTCCAGCTGTCTAGAACTCCAAACTCTCTCATTTGTACTGTCATTTAACATAAGACAAAATTTAAGACCAGACTTTAACTGTTTCCAAATGTTTTTGTGTGTGTTTCTGCTGAAACCTTTAACTGTTATCTAGCACCAGAATTCTAAAACAACAAATACACCCACTGTCTTCCTTTAATTTTGTATTCAGACATTTTTCTGTTGAATGCTTGCTATCACACATTAATCATGATAATATATGATAAATACTTAATGACTCTAAGAGCAAAAGGTTCTTGGGCAAATTGCAAGTACAAATGATTTTAAGAACTGATACACAGAAATCTCTTAATCCTGTGGGGAAATTACTGTAGATAGAATGGTAGTAAAAATAGACTCAGATTATAACTTTAACTTCAAATCTCTGAAGAAACTATTGAACTTTTGAAACCATCTCACAAAAGCTAAATATGAACTTTACTGGGGAAAAAATTCTCCACGCACAGTAGAAACCTGAACCAAAGTACATGTGGGAAATGCAGAATTCTGCACTGAAACAAAACAGAAGGGGCTTAAAAGTCTTCAATCTAATCCTAGTACGTGTTAGGCTTTTTTTTTCTGGAAAAGACATAACACAATGCAAAAAGTAACTCAACTTTCTTTGAGTCCTACAAATGAGCACAACCTCCTTTGGGACTTGTGAGTGGCATAGAAGCATATGTGTCTGATGAAACACTCCAAGTCAACAACTTGGATAACACCCCAACACTTTGTAAGCCCAGACGAGCTGATATTTCAGCTTGATCCACTGACATAAGATTTTCCTCTCAGAAAGAAAATGGTTTATTTTGGGGTGGGCTACAGGAAAAGGTAAACATCTATTTTGATGGAGCATCTGGTAACAAAAAGGAAATATTAAGAATTGTTGTCCTTGTTCTAGGGTGCTTTATTTTTCCACTTAAGATAATTGGAGCATTACAGTTAATAGAGAGACCTATGAAATAATTTACTTCTTAGGCATTTTACCTTTTGAACTCATTTTGTTCATCCTGGAGAAGAGAAAGATTCGAGGAGACCTTATAGCACCTTCCAGTACCTAGAGGGGGCTGCAAGAAAGCTGGAGAAGGACTTTTTACAAGGGTAGGTAGTGATAGGCCAAGGGGTAATGGCTTTAAGCTGAAGGAGGGTGGGTTTAGATCAGGTATTAAGAAGAAATTCTTTACTGTGAGGGTGGTGAGACACTGGAGCAGGTTGTCCAGAGACACTGTGGATGCCCCAACCCTGGAAGTGTTCAAGGCCAGGTTGGATGGGGCTCTAAGTAACCTGGTCTAGTGAAAGTGTTCCTGCTCATGGCAGGGGGCTTGGAATGAGATGATATTTAAGATCCCTTCCAACCCAAACCACTCTATGAGTCTATGATATGTTATGGTGCAATTTACAATAAAGAAAGAAACACTTTCCGTGGTATATCAATAATTTATTATTTTGCATAAGAAGGTAAGATCAGATTTCAGGTAAGACATCAACCAAGAATCTGATGGCAAATTCAAGTATAGAGCTTGGTACAATATTAAAAAATACTACCCTTTGTTTGACTACGGCAAACAGCTAAAACACAATAAAAACATCTGGACTTGACTGTCAAAACATACAGTTCTCTAAAAACCCACACAGCACAACTTGAATATGTGGAATATTGGAAACATGTTTAGTCGTCTTCGTTCCCAAATTCTTAGGATTCAAAGGAACAATCCACCCCCCTGCTCCCCTTGGTATCCCAGAATAGTTCAGCACACAGGCTCAGCATCCATCATAAGCAGGCTCCTGTCCTGTTGAAACTCTTGGGCTAAGACATTTTTTCTGCCTTGACCTGCTGTCATTTCTGCCTGCCTCGTGGAGGCCAGGGCTTTGATTTTTAGCTTTTGAAGCTAACACTGCAATAATGTTGATCTTTCAAGAGTAATCTAGTAATGTAATTAAAACCATTTCTCACCCCTTAAAGACTCTGTGCATGTTTTACTTTGTTGGTTGGATTTATGTTTTTGAGATTCCCTTTCTTTTGCAGGTGTTACTATTGAGGAATTAGCTCCTGGCTCAGAGACGGGGCAGGCAGCCATCTGTCTGGGAGACTCCTGCCAGGACTGTGCAGGGATCAGAGGGTCAGCCTCTCTGTAAATGCTGCTCACTGCTGCCCAGGACAGCAAAGCTGTGTAGAAGATCCTCTTAGACCACACCGAACCAGGAATGGGAATTAAATTAATTTCATTTCAAAAGGACAGGAAAAACAGCCTGTAGGACAGCCAGAACTGTTCCTACCAGAGAGTTTGCAGATTATTCTAGCATCTATTTCATAAAGAGAAAAGCAGGTCCCTTATGCAAGTGTGACAGTGCCCCAGTGTTCTGGGACAGCCCAGGTCAGAAGCAGTGTTAATAGTGTTTTAGGAAGGACTAAACCCCCTCTTTTTGGAAATGGCCAGATCCTGAGAGGTGCCGAGTGCCCTCTCAGTTTCAAGAGAAAGCACTTGACATCTCGCAGGCAAAGGCAAACTGACCCGCTGAATTCCATATCCCCTGAAAAAATAGTTTAATTTTCAGTAATTAAAAAAAAATAGAAAATGTTTTCTCAACTCAGATAATCTCTATGCAATTTAATCAACAAATTCCTATTTATGTTACAAAAAAGTTTAAGTCCACCAGGAAAATGGTGAAATTTGACAAAAGTTACATTATAGCTGTTCCAGCAGAGCGTGTATCCATACACTCAGTTCATCTGTAACTCTTGCATAAACATTTCCAGACTCCTGGGGATTTTGCTGTTGTTTCTTGCATTTCATTTGTTTTATAAGACTCTAAGCCAAATGCAATGACCCACACATTAAATACACATTTAGAATAAAACTGCAAAATCTGATGGCTTTATCAGCATAAGAACTGAAATAAAATATTTACATGGAATGTTGAGCTCCATTTACAGAGACTGTTTCAAATTACAGACTTAGTAATCTCTTTAATAAATGATCACACTGACAAGAAATTTAAAAACTTAACATCCCTTTTCAACCCCTTCATAAATATATAAAGTTTCGCTAAATTCTTTTTTCTTTAAACAAGACAGCTATATTCTCTTTACAGATTAACATGAAATAATGGTTTCCCGTTTGAATGTCACAGATGGGATGATCTGAAGTCAGCAAGTTCCTATACACATTCTGTACTTACAAGACATATTCACAACACAACACACAGGTGTTACTTGGTCTTCACATGTGTACTCACTTCCTGCACATCGGTAGTAAATAAAGAAAAATACCAAATTATCTATATTAAAAATACATCCTCTAATATACATTTGTTTACACTGCCACATCACATCTTAAAACGGGGTTTCCAACTGTGTCTGACCAGTGACAAGGATATTTTTTACAGTGAAGTCTACAGCATTCATTTATTTTTGAGTGGAGACAAAATACATGTTACACTACTAGAAAGTATCACAACATACTCAACAATAGAAAGAATTAATCTCTTGCAACTGCTTCCTAGTATCCAAGGTTTCCTCACTGTTTGAAAATTTCTGATGGGAAAGTTGTTCTAAAGGATGCCAAAAATATTTTAAATCAATTTAAAGGGGAAAAAAAGTTATTTACTTTGCTGCTATTCATATCACTTTGCCACTGATTTTACAGAAGATTAATCCCAAAGACTGAAGTTGTATACATACTAACTCATGTTTTTTCCTATTTAAATAATTATTCCCATTAATTTTCTTTCTTGTGGCACAGGGCATGCGTGAAAATATTTTCAATGTGTGCATGCTCACAGCTGAGTATTTCACAATTAAGCCACTGAATAATCTTTCTTTCCATGATTATGTAAGTGCAAAGGAATACCAACATCACTCTGGACATGTAAGACAAGGTTCACATCTAGAAAAGTAAAAACACTTATCTTGATATGTAATTAAAACTATGATGTTTTCCTCATAAAAATGTTGGTCACTTTTGCTCGTTTCAGTTCTCTCAAGCATTTAAGGGGCAATAACTTCCAAGTGCTGATGTGCTCTCTATGGGAGCAGTTATGCTTAAAACCACTGAAGTGCTGATCTCCAGTATTGACTCGTATCTTCTGCAAACTCTCTGTTAAAAAAGCTCACCTTGGAAACACACAGATGATGATAAAGAGGTGTTTGGCAGTTTTGTTACAGTAGTATTAGCTCACTTTATGGAGCGTAGTAAAGCTCCGGTTTAATCTGACTGTTCTGCCCCGAATTGTGGGCAGGAGAATTGAAGACACAGGAAAACAAGACCAGTTCCAAGTGCATAAAGAGTATACCTGCTGCTCAGTAGAGTTAAAAGTCCTCCTACCAAGAAAATGACCATTGAGTGCTGCCTGAATCATGCCCCAGACTGAGGCGCTGATACAACAGCAGATGTTCTGGCTGTTTAAAATGTTACTATGAATGGAGCCAGCTGACGGGAACCCAGAAGGTCTCGGTCTCCAACCTGTCAAAAGTTGTTTTAAGCTCACTGTAAGCTGTAGCGAGGTCATCGTTGACTATCACCTTGTCAAAGAGGTGGCCATACTGGCTCTCCATCACGTGGGCAGCTTTAATCATTTCGTGAAAATCTTCCTCCTAGTAAGATCAGTGCACCGTCAGTCCATAGCAACACTGCACTAACTCACTCCGTACTAAACACAATCCACTTGCTTATTTTTTATCTTATCAGAAGATGGAAACTGTACTTTTAGTTAAAAATACCCAGAAATTACAATTACAAGTGATCTCAGAGAGTCTTCTCATGAGTTGACTCTGCTCAACAGGCAATTCTTTCATCTCTCCCCTCGTAGTGACACAATTAGTCACTGCATGGTAATTACAGAGACATTTTCTGTTAGCAGCACCACTGGAAAATGTTTCTAGCTCTTTACTTTGATGATACATGTAAAGTTTCATTACTTAAGTCTCAGCTTGATATGTGTGTGACATATTACAGTGCAGCCTCTTTTCTTTTAAGAGCTTGGTAGGAGCCATCATTCTATGTCTGGTTCAATCTGGCTTAGTGGATTCTCTTCATGTTTGGGAAGAGAAGAAATCTTGGCAATTTGTTTAAATAACTTTGAGAGATTAAACCCGTCCTAACTAAGTAATGTCCTGAAGGTTGCTCTTAAGAATGAGCTCCTCTTACTTTTTTTATATCACAAACCAACATTTTCTTATAGCATGTAATTTCCAAACTATTTCAAATGCACAATCTACACAGATACAGTCTGGTTATATCTGTGACTCAGTTTGAAACAAACCCTAAAAAATCCTAAATAACATCTGAATGAGGGAAAATTATACACATTGGAAATGCAGATAAAAAGTCTAACAATGATCAGCTTTGCTGTAGCTTCAATTAAAATATTTCATTATATTACAAGGAAGCAAGCAAGTTACTGCTGGGTAATCTAAATTTTTTTCTGACTATTGACAAAAAGCAGCATTTTTTGCTTGCTTAGATTTTTCTTCTTCTTTCTTACAGTGTTCATTTCCCTATAGCATTCAAAAAAACCACTGTTTCTCTAATCCACAAATATGTGCTTTTTATTAAAGTAGCTTTGACTTTTTTAATTGGTTCTTTATATTTGAATTTTCTTCTAAACTTAGACCCTGTAATACAGTTGATAAAACAAGGAAATTCTTATATTTGAATAGAAACATCTAAGCCCAGATGCAAATGTTTTAAAGGAAATCCACAGCATTCTCTCTCATAAAAGTATACTTGCACTGTGGGGATTCTTCAATGACATACAATCAGAGGACTATGGAAATTGTAAATACCCACGAGCATATCAAACAATGAGAACACCACAGTAAACGTGTGACATGAGAGAGCTGGGAAACAGCAAGATGCTACGTGTAAGCCCTGACAATGCTGTCAATGAGATCCAGTGATCACCTTTATTTTCAAGGTAAACCACTACAACAAAACTCTTAACAGGTTCTCATGTTTTGCCATGTCTAATTATACTTACTGTAAAGGGTTTTGCAGTTCCCTTATCATCTTTACTTGAAATAATCTTGGCATTTTTTCTGGTCTCTCTCAAACGGTCAAGCGATGGAGGCTTTATAAATATAACAAATGGTTTAAACTCATATGTCCGTAAGTGTTTCACTGTCTGGGAAGAGGGAAGATTTTAATTAATTCGTTTATTTTGCACAATGGAACTTACTGTAATAACAGAAACTCTCCACTAACTAAAATAAACCCATAAAACACTTCTAGGCAGGTATTTTTCATTTAGTGCCATCCTGCTCTGCTGACCAGCACTGATTCATGTAAGGAGAATTTTCATGTGAATGGTAAGAAAACCACTTCTCCAAGGGTGATCATTACCCTTGATTTCCACATGGCTGCTGGTAAACCCCATCATTCCAGGAAAGGCTGGGCTGTGCACACCAGTGCCATTGGCAGCACGAGGATGGAGGGGAACACAAGGTATTCAGGAGAAGGCAAGAAGTTCAAAAGTTCAATGGATTTTAGCAGGAATAACACTTTGTGTACCCATGAAAAATAGCAGAAAAAGGTGTCTGTGACACTTGGTCACAAAAGGTCAATGATTTTTCTTTTCAATACTTTGTGCCCACCGCACAACCCCCTGCTGTTCACTCTTTCTGTGCAAGCCGAGTGATGTTATGTGTGGAGTTAGAAACACGTCTATGATTTGGATTGCAGCACAGGGTAAAGTAGGGATGGCCAGCAGCTCAGGGTAGTGGATGGACAGCCAAAAGCTTTCTGTCCTCTCCACACTGCCAGGGCCCACAGGAAAATCCTATGTTGGAGAGTGGGGTGCCAGAATGGTTCACAAGCTTGGGTCCCCAAGAGAATTTCGTGCTTTGCTGGAAAACTGGGCTGGGTGGGACAAGCAATGGTCTCACAGAGCAGGAGCCTCTGCCCAGCTCCCCTCCTCCCCTGACACAGGGTATGGCTTCCCTGGCCATTCCTCTGCCAGTGCAGCCTTGCCCTGCTCCTCAGGCACAGCCCTGCATCTGAAATTGCCCCAGAAACTGTGCACAAGTCATACACTGGCCACCCTTGGAGAAGAAATGCTCTGGATGGGTTTAAACAAACTAGTTCAGCTCCCGGAAGAACTGTGGTTTTTAGGAGCAAAAAAATTCCCAGTGGAGCTGTTCAGTGGGGTTAAAAGACAAGGTCAGTGCAAGAAAAAAGGGTTTAGAGAGGAATGTTCTTAACAATTATCCAGCCAACATCACATTTAGTGCATTCCTTGACTCATGTCCACCCTGCATGGAAACCCTTGTCATGAACAGTCTGGTGAAACGTGAGAGAAAATTGCTGGACTGGGTGATACCTCAAAGCTGTTCCAAAATTAAAGTATCAGAGAGAACCTTTAGCCCAAACTAACAGAGAGATGAATGGAAATATAGGAGCATTCTGTAATTAAATCTTTGGTATTATGCTGCAGGCTTTCAATTCACTTATTTACTAGCTGTATAATGGCCAATTTGTATTTAGGTTTCCTTCCTCTCCTTTCAGAGAACCTTGCTGTGATAAAGGTACCCAGCAAGTCCACTCAACAGTCATTCCGTGTGGGATAAAATACACCTTTTTAGAAATAATTTTTTTCCTGGAATCCCAATATGCAATGTGGGGAAGTGCAAGAGTACTGATGACATGCTTACTTACATGAGGCTGCACATCCAACAAACAAACTTTGTTTTTAGCTAGAACTGATCGAACAGAGTCTAAACTTGTACCATAGTAGTTGTTCTTATACTCGCCATACTCGATAAACCTGTGGCAGAAGATGAAAACAACTGGAATCATTTCCATTTTGTGCAGAAAAAAGCTTACCAGTTTGGTTTATAAGATTTAATTCGGGAGCAAAAATATTGTACTTTACATGAGGGTTTTACCATGTTTTATAAAGGAAATGCTGTCAAGTACTTCAGCATGTCAATTTTAAGAAATCTTCTACTTTACCGCTTTCAAATCAGTAACACCTGCTTGTATTACAGCTAAAGAGAAAAAAGTACTGTAGTCCAACAGCCCACTAATGTTTTCCATCACCTCTTTTTCTGAACTAATGCAATGCAATAAAACAGTGGATAAGCTAAACAATAGAAACTACTGAAATTTCATTGCACACTACAGAATATCCAAATTCTCTGTCTCAGAAGAGGAGGAGGAGTGACGACGGTGCTAATGGAACCAAGGCGGCTGGTTATTTGCTATAAAAGTACAGGCGCTATTTGCCAGAAAAGCAAAGCACAGTTTGAAGTTTCAATAAAACCCACAGCCTTGTGTCTAATACACTTTTGCCCTCTGAAACACTAGGGCAGAATTTCAAGCTGCAGCATTTTACAGGCTGCTGGAGAGCATGATGCTACCATTGTCTTAATTTTAGTTTGCTTCCTAGAAGGTGTACAGGCAGGGGCTTCACTGTAGATCTCTAAATTCAAAAGCAGAGGAAGTGCCTGGCCTGAAAGAGAGCAGAACTATGCAAACATTGACTCAGGCATGCCTGCAGCACTTCCATGGCCCTTCATCCTAGAGCTGCAATGCTTTATTGCTATCACAGAAGATGCTCTATTAAAAGAGTGCTCCCCAATCCTAAGAACCTACAATTTCAGTGTCTTGAGGAGATGAGGTACTGAAACTCCTTGGAAGCTTAGAAACAGTTGTGTTTGCTGCTTTTTTTTGCTCTGTGTTTTTTGCCAGCTGCTTATATAACAAAATGTAATTTTAACACATCTTCAAATCACTGCAACTTATATCCACTTTATTATCTAAAATAACAACCAGCCCCATTCTATAATAAAGCCATTGTTTTAACTGCAGTTCTAGTTAAAAATCTCTTCAACATACTTGTTATTCTGTACGTCTGTCTCAAACAAGTGCTTGGAAATGAAAATGTATTCGACACCATCACTTTCTTGGCTTCTCCTTGGACGAGTAGTGTCTGCAGTTTCATTAGATGAAAAAAAAAGGAAAATATGCACAAAACAATATAATGCAAACCAGTTCAGAAAACACTGAAAAGCACAAACTCTTTGTGCAATACTAAGTGTAGCACTTCCTTCACTTCTGAAGGATGTAAGGCTGCCCTGGAGCTGGTAGTTGGCACACAAGAACATGACAGGATTGCGTTTTAAAAGTGTGCAGGAAAAAAACTACTGGACAAGTATCAGATTATCATTTTTTATTAACTATTGGAAAAATCCAATAAAATGAGGACAGCTGAATAATAAAAGGAGCAGCAGTCCATAACAATTACCCCAGCCTTGCCTCTTGTTAAACTTATTAGCATATGAGACCATAAAGGGAAACAAAGCTCACCAACCTGATTTATAAAATGTTATGTTCATTAACAACACTTGCAGCTCTGCTATGTGAAGCATAATAATAAAAAACCGGGGTGTGAACTTTATGTTTTAGTGCTTTTCTTTTTCTGGTGATCAAAATTGTATTCTGTTTTCTTTCAGTAGCCTTGTACTATTTGCACTTCTGACTTTCCCCCAAGTACTAGGTATAAGGGGTTTGCCTATAAATGAAACTCACTTGTGGGGGTTGCCACTTATGATTAATGAACTCATTCAGAAGTCCTATTTAATACAAGCCGTATGTTACAGCATTTGTATTGTCCATCACATATGAACATACACAACCTGCTTGCAGCAACACAGTCTTAAATGCCATTTGATAGCACACTCTTCTCAGGCTGACACAATGAGGAACATTTCCAAGGCAGGAACCCCAGTTCTCCCTCTCCAAGTCCTAACTTACTGAATTTCAGGGAGAGGGATTTCTTTACGTGTTTGTTTTAAATCATAACCACAAATTTGGAAGAGAAAAGAGAGAAGGCAGCTTGATGAATACTGGCAATTTTTAGAGAAATATTTTTGGGCAAATGATTGCATATGCTTCAATGTGTTAAATATTTTGGGAACATCTGGCTTTTTTTGCTGTTGTTGTCTTCAATACCCAGCTGAAGCAAATATGTGCAAATGAAATGACTTGCCAAACCAAATGCATTTGTTTTTCTACCTTGCAAATTCATTCATATATATACTTTATGGCATACCCGCACTTGCAAAAAACCTGTGACAGTATCTACAAATTTGGACTCATATTTTTGAAGGATCCCTATAGGAGGTACAACTAGGAAGTAAATCAAGAAATGGAAGTCCAGAACTGCTGAGTTCTCCATATTAAAGAAAACCCAATAAAGTATTGTAAAGTTAACACAGCACAATGTTATTCAATTTTATAAAAATCACACTATGTGGTCAGATAGGGGGAAAGAGGAAAAAGAATCACCAAATCAACTTTACTAAAGCTAATCAAAGGGATTTAATTAATTTATTCATAGATTAAACTGTTTATCATCAGTCTTCATTTTTCAGCCTAATGGAGAAAGGCCATTTTGCTGAATGCAAGCACTGGTAACAGAGTGTATTTCACTGCTTTACAGGGTGTTCTTCAGCTGAGTTTCATTTACTAAACCTTACTGACATCAATCACATTAAACTTGTACTGAAAGTGTACTGCTATGCCTCTGAGCCAAAATATCTGATCAGTGTAATTAATGCTATTTAATACAGAACTGCAGCAGCACTTTTAAAAATTAGAAAAGTAATTTGAATGCCAAGCATGCATTTAGGGACCCAAATTTGAAAGTGCCTTAAAGGTAATGCAATAATAAAGGCTAGTAATGCCAGTATATCATTAGGAGAATAGAAGTGCATTTTTACTTACGTGGCACTGTTACCCCGTAGTGCTGGGTGTCACTGATCAGCAATTTCCGTTTAAGTTCATTCAGTCCAACCCCTACAGGACCTGGAAGAAAAATAATCGTCCTATTTCCCAACAGACAGTTCTCTCTTGTCTTCAGTACTCTCCAAGGTAAGACTACATAGCATATAGCTATGACATATACTGCCTTTTAATCAGCCATTTGGAAACGCCCATGGTTTTTTAGCCTCTCCTATAATATACAGCGCTGACAAATTTCAGGGGATGTAGTTGGCAGTTACTCTGCTCTGACTTTATTAATGAAGAAAAATCAGTGAAAAAACAAGTTTCCAGTAAAGCTAACTTTCTTTTCTACAGAAACTACCCTCGGTATGGACCCATCTCCATCCTCAGCCCTACTACAGACCCCTGCATCCTAACCTGCAGCTTTCCAGAACAAGAACTGGTTTGGCTGTTCGTTTTGCCAGAATATTCCCAACTTGCAGACCAGAGGACCCTGGCTGGCATGTGCAAAGTGCCCCCAAAGCCTTTGCAATCTGTGTGTCAGCATGGCCTCACTCCCCCCAGCTACTGCATCCCTTGCCTACCTGCACCAGATGCCCCTGGGGACAAATGCTTCCAACTTCTCCTCATGCCCTGGAAGCACTGCTCCTTCCAGCCTTTGCTGCAGGCAGGAACACTGCCTGACTCCTGGCTGGCTGTAGCTGTCACCATCCACCTTTTGATTGTATGAAGGTGGCATTGCACAGGGAGAGGAAGGAAGGAGAGCACTTGCCAGGTCACAACCAGTTTGGGATGTTTGGGTTTCTTTCTTTGTTGTTGATTTTCTTTTAAACTGTGCTTGTCTCCTGCCTGCTGTCTGAACTGTTCCAAAGCAAATGTTTCCTTCTTCACGCAACTGCCAAAGAGAGACCACTCCTGGAAAGAGGATGGTAGGACAAAACAAAGACTGCATGGAATTTTTTTGACCTGTCTCCTCCACCTCCTCTTGAGTAGTGCTGTACTAGAAGCTACTGAGCAGACCTTCCTTTTGGCTTTCATGTTGTCCCTAACTAGTAGCTCTTTGCCAGTGGTGACAGATGTCTCTGTTTGTGAGGTCTCAAAGGCTCCACAGGCACTTGGTGTGGGCCTCCAGGGGCCCTTCATGCAGGGCTCCAGCCTGCCTGTCCCCCTTTGTGGCAGGGCCATGGTGCTCTGTGTGAAGGGAGCTCAGCTCTGCATGCTTTTATGTTTCTGACAGTGCAGCAGCTAGCTCTGTTTCTACAGAGCCAGGTCAACAGCAGAACACAGAGGAGAGTCACTGCAACCACATCCCAAGTAATGCAAGGATATTACATGTGGTTTTAAAGAAAATTCTTGTGCACCTAGTAAAAGTGACACATTTATGCATGGAGTGGTTCTTAACAAAGACATTTTAGACACTGGAAATACAAAACCTAATAAACATATCAATGAAGTAGTGTTGTATTGGCTAATAATTAGTCAGAGTCCGAAAACAGACTGATGCTTCAGTACCTTCAGATGCCTATTTGTAAAAATGGCCTATTTGTAAAAATGGCATCAAACCCTGTCTGAATTTAGAAACATATAATGATGAAAAGCTAGTGTTTGCTACTGTGCTGCTACCCCCAGACTATTGTCTCTCTGTAAAGTCTTAGGGTTTCTGTATTTAAAATTTCTATGTGTTTTCATCAGTTAAATGCACAACTACATTTCAAATTCCATTTCTGACCTTCCTGTAAATTAATCTATCGGTATGTATAAATATTTACTTAATATGGTGTACAGCAGCCTCTACTGGTGCATGTCTGCAGAGGACATCAATGTGTTATGCAGATAATAGCATTACTTTTGTTATTATTTATGAAAAAATTCCCTTTTTAAGTAGTCCAGCCATTTAAGGCAAATATGGATTTTTATAGGAAAAGTAATTAAAACTCTTAATATATCCTAGCAAAGTAGAACAAAACAAGTGGAATTCAATTTAAAAAAATATCACTGTATTGCTTTCAAGCAAAAAATCTTTTCCATCAAACCTACAAAAATATTACTTCATCAGCTGACGTTCTGTCAAATCAACAATATGCTTTTAGCTCTATTTATTATAAAGAATCCAGGCTTCACTTCCTGTAACGGATGTTTTGGAAACTTAAATCAGTTTCCAGACCACAAGCTCACTACTGCTCTGTCTCCAAATTACCATTTAAAAATCACCTTTAAATTGAACTACTGAAAGGTGTAGATTCTTCTTTTTCAGTGCTGTCCTCACAGATTTCTCATAATACTGGAGGCTGATTCCTGCTTAGCAAAGACATCCATTATGCAGATTTTTACATCTCCCAAGTGAGAGTTCTCTTCTGAGTATTCTTTTCATTTTGATGTAGCAGAGAAAGATGCCAGTTTCTCATAGTTATGAATCTGAACACAATTTGAACTCAAAAAGAGAATGAAGTGGCAGGATTGAAAAGGACAATCCAGATTCTTATAGTCAAATGTCAGGCATGTGGGATCCATGACTGTAGTGTAGTTTTGGTTTACTATAAATCACCCCAGGCAGCAATATTTACAGCTTTGGTGACAGATTTAGAGATACTTTGTTTACTTTTTTAAAGGAAGGCTTATATTGTTTGCTGTTGCATGTTGAGTCATGCAAGCTAAGTAATGGTAGAATCCTGCAAGTGGACTGTAGTGCCCACCTCACTTTATTGAGGGACATTTTCAGAATTAAACCACCAATCATTAAAACTTGCACTAGATTTTGTACCACTCAGACATGTCTGAAGAAAACTGAAAAAGCTGTTTGATCTTCACCCATAGATACATAATGAGCTCCTAGAAGTCTGTTTGAAAGAAAAGAAAAAGAAAGTGGTCTTTCAGAGAAGATTTTGGGAGTGAGGTGACAATATCACTGCTGGGATCATAAGGACCCTGCAGGAAATATGCCTTGAGAGAGGTTCTGTGGCTCAATCCTAGTACACTATAATGCAGTGACTGTGCATGCTTGTCCAACTGCAGCTCAATGAGATATGTGGTAGGAAAGGAGAACCTCCTTATTTTGCTTCAGTACATTCTAACTAGCAGTGGAAGTGTACTTTGAGATCTGCTGTTCTCTGAAGTAGGATCAGTGAGTTCATACTGGCATTCTCGTGGGCAAGGCTAGGCACTAGCTTACATCCTAGGTATTCGTTCCTGAGCCCTGCTGACCTTTGGCCAGGAAGGCTGAATGCAGATAGCAATTCTAGGTCTCTTTCTGAACTGTCCAGTTAGTTCACTGCAGGCAGCATGGCCATGGTAGGCCATTCTCCTGATCTACTGCTGTGGATCAGTTATGACTCTGCAAGCCACTCTGTAAGAAGACAATAGGCAGCATAATATTGAATAATTTTGTTTTTAGCAGACTCATCACATTCATAACAACTAAAAGCACAGCAGAAGTGTCTGTATCATTACTGCTTCAGATGGTATTATTTTAGCCCCAAGGATATGCAGGGCTTTATTCATGAACTTACATTAACAGACAAGGTAAAATCTTGACAAACTAGTACATTGAGCTGAACCTGAGTATAGCATATATCACACTACAGGGCACTAAAAATTACTGTGGGTGCAATTTATGTTCTTCAAATTAGACTAGACAAATTCAAAATGAAGCAAAATTTTTGTTTCAAAGTTGTCAAAATAGCTCCCCTTAAAAAAGGGTAAACCAAAATCTAAAAACCCGCTTTTAAACAGTAAATTATACATTCAGACCTAGCATAACACAACAGACATTTAGTGCCCCCACCAATTACAGCTATAAATTAATTATCTGTCCCTTTGTTTCCTGGTACTACTATCCAAATTACATTTGATGGATTATATTGAATGCTGCTACTGGCACACAGAAAGCTTTTTAAATAGGTTCGCTTTTACTCTACCTGTATTGCTTAGCTCTGCTAGTTTTTCCACATTTTGCCCAAGACATTTTTATGGTATTGGCCAGACTAAAGCTGCTCTTAATATCCAGAGAAAAACATTAGAATTACTGAAGTCTGCAATAAATTTCTGAATTGCTTTTGTTACTGAAAAAGCACACTTTCTTCATTTGATTTATTACAACAAAAATCAAACGGAATCTCTAAGCATTCCTTAGATCAGACATATGCAATTTGTTATAAGAAGTCTACTTATCACACTTTTGCACTACACTCTGTTGATGTAACTGTAAAATCAACTCAACCATGTTATTACTTGTTGTATATAGCCCACAATCTCACAGTGATCACACTAGTAGGTGGCTGATTTTTAGTGCTAAAGAGTGACAAAATTGTTTATTAAAAACTAAATTTAATGTTCCCTTGGATATGAGCAATACAAAAACATAGGAACTCAGCAGTTCCTAGCAGTCCCAAATAGAGGGTCATATTTCTCTTCTCTGATGCTTTCAGAATGGAGGAAACTTTACTAATGAAGCATCAACCTATGTGTACTACTGCCCAAAGAAACAATTAACAATTACTCACTGGTACTCTGACTGTTACCTTTGAAAATCTTAAGATAATGTAATTTCTCTCTTTTTAGGAGGCTGAAGCAATGCATTTTGATTAGATAATAAATGCTGTGAGGAAGACATGGCAGTGACAGATTACAGAAGAATGGAAAGCTGACTAAGGATGACATGTTGAGTCTCGTGCAGTGATGCTTACATTCCTTCTTGGCCTAGAGAGGTCTACCTTGCATTCACCTTTCTTACTACTGGTCTATTTACTTATTCTAACACAATAAGTGCTTATGTTTCTTTCCATTTTTATTGTCAGAATAACAACACCTCAGGTATTTATCTTGTTCTTTTTTTCCCCATAGATACATTGATTGATCTCTAAGAGCATAACACCAACCTAATTCTTTTGGGTTTTAGTACAGCTTGACTGGTGCATTCAGACTAGTAACCATGGTAACTGTATTTTAATGTCATCTCCCTTTGGTGTAGCACAGTCTCCTAAAGCATCCTTATGTGCATGTTGGGACATCCTGTCTAGAAAGGTGGACTACTAGACAAGTGAAAAAGTGGATCATGTTCAAATGGAAGGGGTTATTGGTGTGTACTCTACTACTCATTACAAGAGGGGTTCCTTGGGTGTCTACCCTGAGACATACTCTGTTTCATATCTGTACCAAGGACAGAATGGGCCCTTACAAAGTTTCCGATACCAGGATGGGTGGTGCAAATTTCTTGCTCCAGGGCAGGGCTTCCATTCAGATGTACCTTGATATGCTACAGGCATGGGCTGGCAGAACTTTGTGAAATTTAATGAGGACAAATACACAGTCCTGCAGTACAGGCTGGGGACTGACTGGCTGGATGACAAGGACTTGGGGGTCCAGGTGTGCAGCAAGCTAAGCATGGATCCACAGCACTCACTGGTGGCAATGAAGGCCAACAGGAGACTGGGCTGTATCAGCAAGAGCCAAGTCTGCAGATAGAGGGAAATGATTCTTCCCCTTTACTCAGCACTTGTTAGATCCCATGAGGAATACTCTGTCCACAGTGAGCCCTGCACTACAACCTTGTTGATAAACTGGATCAAAGAAATCAGAGGGCCTCCAAGATGGTCAGGAGCTGAAGTACATAACGTGAAAGAGAGGCTGAGGGAATTGGGCTTGTCTAGTTTGGAAAAGAGGAGTCTTACGGGGACCCACCAGCACCCTTCTAATACCCTCTGAAAAGATGGAGGCCACCTCTTTACTGAGGTGTGAGGTGGGAAGACAAGAGAAGACATGATGGGAAGGCAGGTTCCCAAAGTTGTTGCCACCAACGAATTGCTCCGAATTTAGTGTTAATCCTGTAGAGTGGGAGGTTGGACCAGGTGACCTCCTGAGGTCCCTTCCAATCTAAATGACCCTGTGGTAAGTATTGAGCCAATTGTCAGCCCTCTGTTTTACCAGGTCAAAAATAAAGAAAACAACTTACCAACCAAAACGACAAGTCTGTATTTGTCATTAGGTTGTCGTCTATATTTTGCAACTTCTTCATAGGTTGGGATATCTGCTGTATCGTACTGATCACTCTTCTTGCACTCATACATAGACTTGTTTGTTTTTTTATCTTTTCTGCTAAGACGAAAGCTTCTTCTAAAACCAGCTGCAACAAGAACAAGGTTTTTTCAAAGTAAGAAAATAAGTCTTCTCAAAACATTTGAAAACAGTCTCTTCCAAACATTCAAGGACTGGAGCATGGAATAAAAAATATATTATATGTTTAATATGCCAGGTTATTAGAATAACATTTCCCATGTTTTTAAACTATATAGGGTACCTATTTAAACTGTAAAATTAAAATTACCAATAAAAGCATAAGTGTAAAATATAATTGCAATAATTTGTAAACGTATTTAGATAATTTAGATGATTTGAGTATCTTGTAAAATAGTATATATACACAAGAAAATTCAAGCAATCTAGATTCATACTGCACATAATACAAGTCTATTAAGTCACCATGGCACACAGACATCAAATAAAATATATGACAGAAGCACATCTGGTGGTTGAAAGGGTTAATGAGAATTAACTTCTTGAACAATTCTGTTGTCCTTAGTTCCATGCTGATAGTATATAAAAAAGTGCACAAAACATTTCCTAAATATGTTTATAAGTAAACCCTAACACTCTTAGTCAAATTCCAAAACACTAGGAACATCTTAGACAATACAGTACTCATATTATGAAATTAAAAGTTAATATTGCTATTAAATCTGCATTTACAAGGCATCACCATCTTTTACACTATATGTTAAAAACTAACTTACTCTTCTGTTAATGATTACCTTAGATTTTTCAAATAAATCCTTTACATTGCATTACATTACATTTTACTAGTATCTCTATGGCACCATTTTTGTTCTAGAAGGAACTAGAGGAACGACTGTAAAGGACTGCAAAGCTGATTTCCCTACCTGGTAGGAATGGATTAAAACACAAACTATACTTTAAACAGTGAGAAAGTTTGTTTTGTTTCCCAGAACATTTCATAGACAGTAAACACATGTTTGGTGACCCCAGATTTTCAGCAACATGTTTTCACAAACTTGTAATAACACTTATGTTTAGGTGTTTGAGAAGTAATCATATTATGATTTCTTCTTCAAAGGTAGTATTTGGCAAGTTAAAGACTCAATTTTGCAAATATTTAGAACCAGATCTGAAGAGAAATGCTACAAGGCTTAGTCACAGGCTTATCATTTCTCACACAGTTCCACTCAGCATAACTTGTCATAGAACCTGGATCACAGAGGATGTTAACCAAGTTATTTAATTGATGTGAGCCCCTACACCTACGGAATCTTCAACACATGCATACACACAAAAAGTGAAGAAAAATTTCTTTGAGAATACCATGATGTCAATCCATTCATATTCAAAATATAACAATATATATAAGTAAAATGCAAAGTGATGAAAATTCCATCCATGGAAAGGGCTGATGGCATTTTTAAGAGGTATGGTATGGTCTAGACTAAGTAGGAGATGTACTGGCATAGAAAAGGGATCAAAATATGAGATATAAAAATGTAAGGAAATAAACTGAGTTATGTTATTTTATTATTCAAAGAACACAAACACTGAAGTAGCTGTAGTCAGATTTAGAAATGCCCTGTTGGAGAGCTTACACACCCATAATAGGGCCTGAGAGATCTAGCCTGCCCTAGAGTGAAGTCCATCATAACACAAGGATGTTCTCTTGCTCATTACTATCCCTAACTTCATAGACAGTTATATAAAGAAAGATTAAAAGTAACTTTAGCAATACAGACACATGAAGTGAGTTATAAATTTCCTGAGGCCTCATCTAAAATGCGCCAGATTAAAAAAAAAAAAAAATTATTCTGGGTTTTTTGTTGTGGTTTTTCACCTCCCCCCCCCTTTTTTTTCTGTATAATCACTTTATGGAGAAACAAAAAAAAAAAAAAAGAATAACTCCTCACCATTGACTGCTAAATGGCTAACAAAATAAATAGCTTTGTCACAAAACCCAGAATCTGCATATCTGGAAAAGGTAAAAAGTAAGATCAAATGAAGATAAATCAATGGTCTCCATTACAGTTTGGTGTCGGCCTTACAAATACCAAGAGTTCTGTGCCCCTGAGCAGCTTTCTCAAATGCCATTACCAACAGCTTCTCAACCTCTGCTTACATGTTGAACTTTGCAATCTTTAGCAAAAATATTTTTTCTGCAAAATTTTCATATCAATTCAATCCCCGCTGTTAGGTTTCAGTAAGGCCATTTGTAACTTGTTCCTCTTTTCTCCATCCAATTTATTCAGATTTCATCACCAAACTGCCAGGTGGTCAGTTATTTAAGAATTTTCATTCCTTTCATTCCTTCAGAAAGGAGAAAATCTTTCAGTGCTGTCTTCAGGCTGATCTTTCCCTTGTCACTTTTACAGGCTGCAGAGAAAGCATCACAAAGACTCAGGTGACATCATTCCCGTGGATAACATGGGCTTCCTTGAATAAAACATTTGATATTTCAGTGACTGAACTTATTGTTCTAATGAAAATAGTAATATTGTCCTGTATATTAAGAAGGTTCAACAACAAGTTCAACTAGGACTTAGACATTACAGAAGAGCTATTATATTAATTAAAAAGAACAAACGTGAGACAGAGATAACAAAGCAGATGTCCAGTATGGATGACTTCTCTGTAGGGTGCTCTGTAAAACTATTGACTATTAAAAACCTGTGATATGCTGATTGTTTCACCACTTTGTGACTATTGCCAATTTGAAAGTTGTTTTTAACTGTTCCTCAAAGCCCATCTAATCAGCCCCATACAGAGACCCAAGAAAGCTTGCTTTTAAGGAGCATTTAAAAACAAGGAAAATGTAAAATTTGGAGAGAAAGGGTGAGACTGTTTCAAATACATCCAACACTTTTATGATACCGCTGCAGCATTCCTGGAAACATGATTCTTCCTCTCTCACAGCTGCCATTATATGTCCTCTCATATGTGGCTTAACTTTACTGTGACCTTCAGAAGCTATTTTGTAAAGAACTGTTAATAAATATTTTCTACTGAATGCCTGCATTTATAATTGCATTCTATGTTGGGCAACTATGATGGCACAAAAATATTAAGTTGAACTGAAACAATATTGTATTTGCAAGAATAAAAGCATTTATGAAAAGGCAAAAAATATTCTGATAATGTTTGCATATTTTACAGTTCAGTAAAGATGAAAAATAAACTTCATATATTTAAATGAACAACGGAGCGTCATTAAAAATATAGTGAAAATACTACAGGAAACCAACACCAATACTGATATGCAATAGAAAAAATAATATTTCTATAAAATGATTTATCTTAAAAGTAAATTTCTATGGAGAACAAAAGGAAAAAGCATTTCTTGCCCAGAACATTTGATAATATAAGCACTGACGAATATGGAAGGAGCTGCAGGCTACACTGTCTGAGGAATATGGATATCAGCAGAGATTAACCTTAGCTGCCAAGTATGCAGACTATAAAATAAAAGGGGAAAATTCTGTCACTAAAGCAACAGAGTATTCTGAACATGGAGAAGCTCACACCAGCTCACTGGTTACAGCTACATGACTAGAACCTTACTGAACATGCAAAGCCCTAAACTACTGCTGGAATGTAACAGATTTGGTGAAATAAGAGCAGCCTCTGGAAGGAAAATATTAAGAAACAAATGTTCTCAAACTACTCTTCAAAACTTGTAACACTTCTCAACATAAAATAAAAATCAAAAATCATTACTAATAAACTTAATTAAGGCCCAACAACAATCCAAGAGAAACCATGTAGATCTCTAAGAATGAAATAAAAAAACTCTAGCAGAAAAGTGTGATTATTCTTTTAACCACTAACAGCATACATTTGGTCATCTTAAAACAACATCCTTACACTTACATGGAGAAATCCACTTGGGCCTCACATGGAAAACCAAACAGAAAACAGGCAATGTGTGAACCTGTTTCCCTTACAGTATTTTAAAACAATGCTGATGTAAAACACAGTGGTTATTTATATTTAATTACATAATTCTGAAGAAGTAGATTGCAACTATGTTGTGCAAATTTAAATCCAAATATATTCATCAAAGTAGAAAGGTAATTTCTCAAAGTCAGAGAAATTACACTAACAGGAAATAATATAAATTCACCTATGGTTCATAAATTCACAAGTAAACCTCCAGAATGCTATAAAGCACACATGTTTTTGTTAATTTTCATTCATTAAAGTGCTTCAGTACATGTTCAAATTACATCTATTCTTCACTGAATTTAATCTTACAAAATTTAGAGCAAACAAATGCTATTTAATTGTAAATGCATTTATGAGCACCTTTTGTATTCATATTACTTACAAATATAAGTTTGGTACAATGGTCATTATCTAGGTTTGTATGAACACAGTATTTTTACTAGATATTTCTGGATTTTTTTTCCCCCCAAATATTGGGATTTTTTTATACTGGCTCGTATACTGAGTATTTCTATTGTTACACAGGAACTGCACAAACACAGAGCAGACTTCTTACTCTGTTTGCTTCTGGACTGATTCCCAGCTTGCACATTTAGACAGGGTTAATAAAAATTTAGATTATGTCTGGAGTTTTAAGGCGAAATTGAGAATAGTAAACAGATGATATTCATCTATATTTACTGTATGTTCATAAAGGTTCAAGTAATGTAACTAGAATTTAAGCTTGGCAAAGACAAACTCCTAACATTCTCCCCAGAAATTCCTCAGGAAATTACAGCAGAAACATACGATACTATACTGTGACTTAAATATTAGAATTTGGTGAAAAATCATTAAATTTATCCTAGTCCCTTTAGAGGAGAGGGTTCAAATTCAAAGCAGCATAACCTCGGACATAACAGATCTGGACTCCAAATGGTAAAGACATTTTGCTTTCTGAACGTTGTCTCTTTACTCTTCATGACCACCTCGTATGTGCCTAAAGCACACATGCTTGCTGAGAAGGTTCTATCTTCACAGAATAACCTGGTTAACAGACTGAAATGCCAGTCATCTATATCTATATCTATATCTATCTATCTCTATCTCTATCTCTATCTCTATATCTATATCTATATATCTACCTATCTATATCTATATACAGAGCCCTGAACCCCTAATGAGCCACAAGATCAACTGAAAATTCATTAATTGATACTAGAATTATTGCAGCTCACTTGATTTGATTACATACTATCAAGAGCAGCATGAAACATGACTCAGTTATTCTGGCTTTTAGGAAGCTACTGATTTTAGAATTTTGAGATATGAATGATTTACCATACTTAGCTTACCTCACACTAACCATCCAAGGTCAACTCCCTCATCAGCGATTCAATCTACCTTGCTCTTGTAACTGGTTACAATAAATAGACAGTTTCTCAGATGTCACTAAAACACCCTGAACTTGTGGTTCTGATTCAAGCCCTTCAGCGACACTGTTTAAGGTTTTGTTTTCAGTGTAGTATGTTTAATCAAGGCTTTATGTTGTAATAATGATGAGATTTGCCTAGAAATTGTTAGTTTCTTAGTAATCCAGGAGTGCTGTAAGTGCCTATCATGTTTCAAGAGCATATACATTCAGAAACATTCAGGTGGACATTCCCAATAAGTTGTTTTCAAGAATCATGTTTGTTTTTCCACTCTCCCAAAAAGCAACAGGCAGGGGAAAAATATATCTTTGAAGGCCTCCACTACCCTTGGGATTGAAGGAATATATTCTCAGATTAGTGGAAAAGAAAGAGGCCTTCCTAAGCAGGAAGATGGACTGCAGCAGTTAGATATGGTATTGGCTCCTGTTACCTAACAGAAAGTTTGCAAAGTGTCTTTGCCTAGGACGCCTTTACCTTATACACTATCCAAGTTTTAAACCTTGCACAGCACATAAGTAAGAGTTCTATGCCCTCTCTGCAGCTGGTCAGCAAGTTTTTTCATATTATTGCACTTCCAGCAGTGGAATTTGTCCAGCCCAGAAAGTTATTCCACAGCAGTTTGTTCTTTAAGAAAATACAACTGAAAAATTATTTAAGAGAAAAGCAACTCTAAATATGTCTGGATAGGATTGGGCTCCTAATGATTTGTGAAATAAGACGACAATGGAGTGCATGAGACAGTTTGAATCACAAATCACTGTGTCCTGTTACCATATGGAAAAGAATGGTAACATCAACTCTCAAAAGCCTACCTGCTTGATCTTAAGATACAATAAGTTTTAATGAACAATTCTTAGTGAAGAGCTCCAAGGAACCTCTAATTTCTAAACTAAATAACTACTTTTTCACAACCAGTGAATATATTTGTGTCCTTACCTCAAAACTGGTCATAACATTAGTTTTCATGTCTTCTAACTCTCCGACATCTCACTTCCAACAGCACATACTCAGCATGAGAAGGCTGAAGGTTCCATCCCTGGACTGATGGCAGCACATCACGATAGGAAAGCTCTCAAGAGAGGAATCACTGCCAGAACTGTACAGCAATTCTCCAATACTTTCTGTAAAGTTTTGCCTAAGTGAACTACACCCCATCTTGATTTTTTGTTGTTTGCATGTAGGACAATAGTAGCTTCTTCCTCAAGACACCTCCTTCCTAGATGACTAGGTCTTTTTGGTAACAGTAGACCAAAATGTTTCACTGAAAAAGGCTAGAGCACCATGAAAAGATGGATTTTGTTTTGATACCTTCATTCTCAAATAAAGCAGCAGCCCACTAAGATCTGATTGCAAACTCATGTATGGTCTCATCCTAAGAATTCATGAAATCTGTATTTGCATACAGGAAGATGCCTTTCTTGTTTCAAAGAAATTATTTGATAAGGAAAATTCAATTCATTTGCAATCACATTCAAAGTATCATTTTCCAAACATACTCAATATCTCAGTACAATTACAAGTCAACATTAATTTAGTTGATTAATCAACAAAGGTAAGAAGTTTATTTTCAGCCTGATCAGATAACCATGAGTTCCACAAACATGTGATGAAATTACACCACGCAGATTTTGTGGAAAGGTTAAAGTTCTTTCAATGATATGGTTTGCATGTGCCTGATGTTTTTTATATACCACATTTAAAACCACTGAAGGGCAATATGAAAACCATCTCTAATTTACACTTCTGGTCTAGGCTGTCTCCGTGAGCCCAGTGGCTTGGATGTACTAAAGTACTTTGACAAGTTTCTTCCCACTCCTCTTGTAGTAGGAGGATGAAAGTCTTGGGAAAAGGGCTGGTTGCCACAAAATCTGCTCCAGCCAGCCTTCAGCTGGCAGGAATTCTGGACAGTTTCAACTAAAATATTTTTACATAGCTTTTAAAATGGCACAAATTAAAAAGCTGAAACATATCATGGAACATTCACCTTTTTAAATGTTACTGTTGTTTGAAATTTGGAATCTTGAAGCTGAAGCCAATGGACTTGTTCCCTTCCTCTTCCCTGCTCCCCGCAATGATACATAGAGCTCAGTTTTAAAACTAAATTTAAGCTATTGAGTTATTATGACATTATATTTTGTAATGTGGAAAATGAACTGATGCCTGCAAATTGCTCTGTAGTCTCACTGAATCCTCCCAAAATGGTTAGATAGACATGTACAAAGAAAAAATCTGTAAGCAAAACTTGAATAAAACCTTGAAAGAGTCTTTAAAGAATAACTCAAACTTTTCATGATACAGTAACCTTTTTGTTTCATTAAACACATTGCTTGCTTGAGGTACTTTAAGAGTAAATATTTTCCCCAAATTTATTTTGACTTTAAAATCAAACCAGTATTTTAGTATCCTATGTTTAACCAGATAAAGGCATACACTACATAAACCCTTTATGTCAAATCCAATGAGCCATGTTTAAAACCTTAATATTCATGCATTTTTCATGCAGAGTAAGGACATTTGTATGCAGATTACCCCCAAAAGCAAAGTGGACACAGTAGTTCCAGGGAAAAGAAGCTGAAAGAAAGGAACAAAATTGTCTTTTGTAACCAACTGCTCACCTAGATAGGATCCACTGTTGTGACCAGCACATTCAGCATCTTCTGGACGAAGGGTAAAAGCATACAGAATAAGAGCCAAGAAATAAAGCAGAATAGTTAGAAGCCTAGCAAAAAATACAGAAGAAATTACTTTAAAAATGACAACTGTACAAAGCATAGCATTAAAAAGCCTTCAATAAGCCATTTTCTTAAAAACATAAAACAATATTTATTGTTTTATATTTCAGCTGGAAATATTCTTGGATTTTGCAGCATGCACACTGATCTTTTTACCTTCTCAAGCAAAAGTTGTGATGACAACAAACATTCTAAAAAGGATTCTAACACTGTATTATTCACATTTTATCAGTTAATAGAAAATATGCCACTTGAAAGAAAGCAAAACGATCTGATGTAAATCAAGCTTTTTTGTAAATTATACATTATCAGACTTAAGCTTTAAGTTTTGGCTCACTGGATTAGACAGAAAGGTTTTTGATCAAAAACACATCCTCTCATTTGATATAAAATAGCTATAATGTATATTTTTACATGCCAGAGGCCCTTTGATCAAAAATATGAGCTACAATTTCTAATGCCTTTATAAACAAAAGCCTCTTAAGTAAAAAAAAAAACCCGAGAGATCAGCTGCTATTACTTTAACATATGCTGCAAGCACAACAGTAACCAGCCACGCTCCTGGGGAAGACAGTAACGATGATACCACATAGACGAGCTTTCTACCATCTCAGAGAAACAGTTTGTCAGTATTAATTAGAAATGCAAGACCTCTCAATGGCCACGTAATTAAACCAGAACCATCTCTTTTCATCCCAGCCCACCCAAGTGTTGCTAATATTATTTAATCATACTACTTTTCTATGCATATCTTGCAGAAGTTCAAGAGAGAGAAAGCAGTTTAAAACAATAGTTCAAATTACTGATTATTACATGAAGCAACCAGGAATATTCTGATATTTTTATCTACTTAAAAAGATGATTCAATGTACTTGGTGGCAATATAAAAGCATTATATGTATAACATCTCTTAGAAACACTGGACTATATTCAATTTAATTCTAAACACATGTTCTCTAAATAAAATTATTGGGCTATGCAGGGAAACTTTTGTACATGTACCTTCAATTTCCTCTGAGAAGCACAAAGGAAAAATAGGAAAGGAAATCATTAAATGGAGTGAAAATATAACTTAAGAAAGAAAAGTTAAATCGAAGAAGAAAAATGCACCTACCACACTCAACCGCTTCCTCATCTTAGAACAGCCAAAAAAACAAAGTATTATTGTTTAATACTTCATAAATAGGAAAAAATTCAGCTATGTAAGCTACTCTCAAATCCTCTTGACAGCACCTATTATATTGAGGCATATACCAACATACCAGTACCGAGTTTAACTTACATGTTTAACTACACTCAGTTAGAAAAGAACCTAAAAAGGCATTGAAATACTATGTGCACTTTAAATTTCCTATATGAGATTCTTCCACTATTCATTTGGTAGCAATGACCTTACCCAGTTGTCATGGTAGATCTCTTGGTATTAAATGCAAAGTTTGTTAATTCCGATTAATCAGTCTTAGCCTAGAATTTCTAAGAATCACTATCATGAACGTGACCTCAGTATTTTTCTGCACTTACAGTGACAGCTGGTACTGCCCTTGGAGATGGATTTTGGAGAGGTTTTTTGGTTTTGGCTTTTTTTTTTAATTTTATTTTGAAAATCTACAATTGTAGCTGGAAACATGCTGAAAGAATTTACATACTCTTGTAATTTTTTTCTCTGACAATATCCTAATATAATAGATCTACTTAAGTCTTTCTGCTTACTTATCTGCTGATATTGAGAGTAGATGTAGTAGTACACATTTGGGGTTTTACAGAAAAGCAAGATAAATATAATGAATTTTTTGTTCACAAATATAGTATATACTGAGGTCCAGATTTATACAGAGATTTTACAATCTACATGTCATTCAAATTTCCTTTAGAATCTGGATAAATATGCCTCAAATGTAAATATTTCGAAGACTTTCCATAAAGCTTGTCTTTCCTCAGAATGATGATATGGAAGAGGTCTTCTCATTTCATGTCATGAAATGGATAAAGAGTCTCTTCAGCCATGGGAAAAACACTGTTTTGTAGAGTCATCTCTTGGTACCTTTTTTCTTGAGGAGTTACATTGTAAAATAGTATTTTGGAAGACTTTGCTGAATCTTATTTAAAGTTTATTTTTACGCTCAAGGTGACCATATGATTTAAGTAGGCTGGGAAGTCCTCTGAGGTGAACACTGCTTGGTTGGCCACATCTAGTGCATTAAAAGAGTGACAACAGCTTTGTGACTTGAGAATGAAAGTGTTGGATTCATTTTCCTCTCTTGACTTAAAAGCTCCCCGTTCTTGACAAATGCCCTAAATCTGGATCTACGGTGGCAGGCTGGCTTTCTAGTACTACTCCCTTCTCCCTCTCTGTGTTGAGAGACCTCTTATGTATCCTGATATGTACAAGTTTTTCTGTATTTCCATTTCCATGACTTTCAATAGATTGTAACTTATCTCCTGAAAACAAGTCACTAATACTCAAAACCAGTTCACATAAACAGATTTTAAAAGTCTCCTGAGTTGAACACAAAAAACTGGACCAGAAGAAAACTAGATCCATATGTACAGATATACACGTGTCCAGAGGTCTGTACAGGTATACACTCACTCAACCCTGACCACTGCAGACTCAGAGGAGTCCTGCAGGTGTGGTGGATGGTGGAGTTACAGCAGCAGGGCTCAGTACAGCTGAAGGGAACTCAGGCTCCTGAGCTGGCCCCTGCTGGGAAAGGGAATGCTCTTATCCATAAGGGAATGTTAGGATTCCAAAGGGAGCCAGTTGACCACAGAGAGCAGAAGCCAAAATGTCTACAAGCTGAGGTTTAATGTTGAGATAAAGTGAAGGAGTTCTGAACTTTTTGTATTTTGTTAAAAATCTTCCTTCTTAATAGTGCTCTTGGCTTTCTTGGGCTACTCTCAAGGTTGACAATAACAGTCTGTAATGAAAAGATGTTGGAAAGCAGTGGGTTCTCAAAGCTTAATGCAGCTATGAACAGTCATCAGCATGTATCTCCCAGCTTGAACTTTTTACAAGGAACTTTACTAAGGCTATTGTGTGTCCCTAGTAAAGTCAGAGATTATTTGCCAGGAAACTTTGCATCGTGATTCACCACGAACTAATACAGCTCTGTGCACCTGAAGCAGTTTTACACATGCAGCAAGTGTGTGCCCAAAGTTCCAAAGTTATGAAACATGAAAAATTTGGACCAATACAGTTTCACTTAATTGAAGGGAGGTGAGAAAGGAAACAGAGGTCTAGAAGAGACAAATATGAGAACTAAAAGAGGTCAAAGACCAAAGAGGAGGAAATCTGATGGGAAGTAGGAAAACAAAAGCAATGACAAAGTGAAAAAAACTCAAAACATAAGGCAACATGGAACAAATAAAACACTGAGAAAAGAAGAAATACAGTCAATTAAATGTATTGTGGTAAGAAGGGAGAGGAAGCTCCAAAGAAAATAGTCATGGAACATGTTGTTTATGAAACAACAACAAAGCTGTAACAAGACATAAATGGGAAAAAAGAAATAGGAAACACAGGTGCAATGGAAGCTTAGGAAGTAGGTGTTTTTATTCATTTTAGAAAGGTTTCAGCATAGCCAATATGCTAAACTATAACAATGAAAACCAGTATCACACACAATTTTTTGTTTTGGTATGTATTTTAACTGAAATATAATCAAGATTTGGTTTTGGGGGCCTCACCTAAATTATACTAGTTATGAAGCTCAAAACCAGGGCCATTTCCAGGAACATTCTCAACTCCTTGGAACAGTCCAGCACCAGATTAAGAGTTTTAGCTTTTGTTGACTTTCTTTCAACAAAATTTCCATCAAAGAATTTTACTTAAATGTTTCTAAGTCTAAAATTAGATCCAGCAGCTCTATTCTAGTTTCTTATCAAAAACGTTACATTATCCCTTAAATTATACTTCACTTTAGTAAGCAAAAGACTGTGATGTAGAATGATCTGCATTACAGTGAATAAACACTCATGATTCTTTAGTGATGAACAGCCCCACACAGCAGTCAACATTTATACTGTTTTGCAGGCTTTTATCTTAAAGAGATTTGTAGATTGAACAATACATGTATGTTCACGCTATAGGAAATTTAAGATGATCTAATTTAATCCTCTCATAAAACCATCAGGTAACAGTATCTCTACGAAGACAATTTTGAAAATGAAGAAGGATAGTCTCGCAGTGAAGGACAGAGCAAGAGTTTACGAGATCCATTTCCACTTCTGTCTCATGTGACCTTGACTCAAATGTCATCCAGCTTCAGGTATCCTCAATTTCTCTGTCATAGCAAGAAGTCAATATTTGTAAGGACGGGAGACTTTCTGAACAAAAAAGTTAATGTGCTAATTTAACTCTTGAGGTCTGGTTTACTTTTTGTTTTCACTCGTAACTACCTGCAGGTGGGCAATCAAGTTTCAAATGTGAACACATAAAAACACTGAGAAGAAAGGCAGAGTTAAGATTGTGCAGCAATTATAACAAGCAAAAGAGTCCTACTATACATTTATCCTAAATGTTTGGTCTTCAAATACGAGTGGTACAAAGCATTTATTCTTTTAGCCTGTTTAAATTCTTTTGTTGGCAGAACACAATCTTCAATTCACAAGACACTCAACTATGGATAAACTGGGTTACATCTTGTTTGAATGAACACCATTTGGCTGCAGTTAAGTCTTTCCTCTTGCTCATACAATGCCAATCACATATGGTAAATCAAAATTGAAAGTAAAATGGGTTTTAAGTCTTAGAAAAACTATATGATGACGGCTTTGCCACAGTAAGTATTTACATTTAGCCTTAAATATATAAAACAAACGTATTTTCATGGAAAAGACATCTCGGAACAGCTCTGTCGTATATGCTACATACAAATGCATATTTATATTAAACTATATACACAGAGTAAGGATATACATATGTACATATGTATGCACTGCACAAGTTAAAAGAAGTTACAGGCTACACTAGTATAAAATATAAAGTTACCAGTAATTTTCATACCAGAGACAACACATACATAACAGAAGAATAAACACAGTAACCGCTGTGAAAGCAAAATTATGCTGAAGGAATATAATGTCTTGGCCAGTTATTGTAGTTTATGACAACTGCAGAATAGTACATTATTTGGTTGTTATTCAAAGAAATTTTTTTTTCTCAAAAATCCAGATGATCACTTTTGTCTACAAATTAAAGTAAGCTACACATGCAGGAATAACCAAGCCTGTTGGCAATGACTGTTACAGTCAGAGCATGAGTAGTCTTTGTATTCAAGTTAACAAACGGGGAGCTATTAAACAAATGAATTTTTCCCTGTACTGAGTCTCCTGTCACTCCAACTTAGCCATCATGCAGCGACAGGAGAACCCACAGAGACAACTCTGGCTACAAAGTTGTGTCATCCAAGCTAAGGTGACCTCCTAAATGCAGGAATGCTGTTAAGTATTATTGAGGATTACCAGGTGAGCAGGTTTCTGCAGAGCTGGCATTCAGCAGTGGCTCACAAGCTCAGATGCACAGAAGCTGATTGCATGCAGGCAGACACACCCACCACACCTCCTTCTGTCCCACAGCTCCCTCACACCTGCTCAGGTGCACTGCACATCCACCATCTCAGCACCTCGAGGGTCAGTCCTACCCACAATCCCATGCATCTCCGTTCCTTTACTTTCACTGCATTTTCCCATTTTCTCTTTTACGCTTGCTTGTTCTTATAACTTTTTCCCCAGCATAATTTTCCTCACAGTTTTAATGCACAGTGCTGCTTTTTGCTGAAAAGTCATTGCTGTTAAGTATTGGAAAAGAATGCTGAAAATGCTTCAGAGGTTTGTTATCCCTCCATCATTTGTGCATTAACCCTGAGCCTGGGAATTAACATATGAATCTTAGCAGCAGGTCAGAACATCCAACTGCCACTTATCTCATGCTTTTAAAACTTATCATATACAATTCATCCCTTTTTCCTTTGTTTTTTCTTATTCCTACTTTTTCTGCATCTTCCTCTCAATGTAAAACCATCTCTTGTCAGTGCAGGCTCCACCTATATTATCAGTTTCCTTCAACCTTACTCCCAGATACCATCAAACTGTGCAACTTCCCCATTTGCAAATGAAAAAGTGTGATTTCACTTACCTTTCAATATGAAGTGTACACTGTTCTGCCCCCTCCTTCAGTGTACACGACATGTTAAATGTTTTTCACTTTAATGGGTACAATGTGACAATGATTCTGTTTTATCTTTCCAGAAAAGGGCTAAATGCTGGGAGAGATATGTGTATTTACAGATAGACACAGCTGACCTGGCTATGAAAGTGAAAATAAGATTTAGCATTTCCATTATAAACTCATCCTTTTAATAACTTAGAACTAGGTTATATTTCTGGGTTTTTTTCAGTGTAAATAACTCTTGCTGTAAAAGTTCTATGGAAAGTATTCTCTCCTTCCTCAGTAAGTGTATGCATATGAGCACCACCAAAAAAGCCCACCTTTATTTTGCTTCCAAATTTATGATACACAAATATGTGTATGATTAGCAACTCTACACAACATGCACTGCTATGCTGAAAAGAGTAAAAAATTCAAAATAGGAAACAAAAAGAAGGCTTCCCAAAAGTAATCCAATCTTACAGGTTTTGAAATATATTTAATTATCAAAGCAAATCCTGATAGATGTTAATGTTACTTTAAATACAGTTGTTGACTATGTTTCAGAGAGGTCTTTCTCTAGACAAATGCAACAGTCCTTTCCAGTTCCAGAACTGGCTTAAGAAGGGAGGATAAAAAGAAGTTGTAGGATACTTCTCATATGTTATATGACTTTGACTAATTTTTAGATTAATTTTCAAGTATAAAGACACTACTACCCTGGAAGCTCACCTAAGAAACCAGAGCTGATTCACATTTTTTGGGTATCCAAGAAAATAGAACATTTTATCTTGATTCTCCCTATTAAAAATAAAGGTATGTGCCCAGGTTTCCTCCTCGTTACAAAACACGGGAACTGTGTAATGAGTTGACTAAGCAGAGCAGGCCAACATCCACTGCTAAATATCATGTCTCAAGAAATCTTCCTAGTGCAACTCTCAGTCCTGTCAGGAAAGGGACTTCTATTAGCATCTCTGTTGAAGTCAACAAGTTTTTGTTGCTTTTGGAAGCTGTGAAAACATCAGCTGGTGAATTGCCCTTTCCTTTCAAATTACTAAGGAAATTCAGGTCACTTGATTGGATGGGATCAACTGCAATAGCAAGCAGCCTCTCAACACACAGCTGGTTCAGGATGATCTACAGACATGTTTCCTTACACAATTACCCTTCCAAGCCCTGGAGAACCCTATACAAGCTGAAGGCCTGCAGTACAGGACTAAAAAAGAATCTGATGAAATCAAGCATCACCAATTTCCCACCTTGGGAATAATCATTGGGCCATACGGCACGTTACAGAAAAGGGCTAAAAAACCCCATCTGACCCAGCAGGCCTTTCCAATGTTACCTTCCTTACATGTTTGCAATACTGGCAGAATGCTGTTTGTTCAGCTGAGCAATGCACAATTTTGCAGCATCTCCCAGTTTTGGCAAGGTGACTGCAAGTACAGACACGGCCTCCACATCTCACAGCTTCACTGCTGCCCTTGGTAACATCAAAAGCTGACTAACTTTAGAAAGAGCACAAAGGCACGGAGTTTCCTGGCTTATGTGCAATCTTCCTAAAATCCAAGCAAGTGGAAGGTTTTCCTCAGAGCAACTCGAGCAACATCCAAGTCACAAAATCTTTTCTAGAGCTGGATTCTGATCTTTAAAATGCCTTCTCTATTATAGATCTGAATTCCCTCCCAGCACTAAAACCATGTTTAGTCTTTGAACACAGGGATGAACCTCTACTCAGAACAGCACTTCCTCTCTTCCCATGGAAATCCGGCAGACGCAGCAGCAGACTGTCTTAAGAAATGGGAAGAGGAAGAATGACAAACCTACATTACTCTGCAGTCTTTCCTCCTTCAAGAGGCACCACTGATTTCTACATGGCATTTAGCTGGAACTTGCTTTGTTCAAAGAAATTCCAAAAGAGAGCAATAATAGGCATACTGCTTGACCCTAATGTTCTGTCATGTTTTAAAGGAAAGGGGAGGAAGAGACAAACTCTTCTCCCCTACTTAAGCTTGTTAAGGCAAAGTCAGTGGAATCAGCAGAGACAACAGAAGACATCGTACTGTGGGTCTTCTTTGGGTTGTAATTTTGGCAATTCCCAATCAAGTTCAGGCTGCCTATTTGGAAGGGTGAGATGCATCTTGTAAAACCTTTCACTTGAAGGTCACTAGAAAGATGCAGTCCATTACAAAAGAATTCATGCAGTGTTGCTGCAGCAGCTGATTTACCTCTTCAAAAGCACCAGTGCCACCTTAATTGAAGGCTCTTGTTGAGGATATTATCCAGATTCAAGAACAGTGGGCAGAGAGAAATAGCTATACCCTGGGATCAGACACTTTTCCAAAATTGGGGCAGAGCAACTTGACCTAGAACCTAGAAAAACAACAGATTTACTACAAGCTGGAGGAGCTCCTCTTTGTTTCTAAGGCCTATGTATATTAGAAAAGCTGTAGTGCAACTATAAAGTCTGTTACTGTTATTACAAAGCTAATCGAGGCCTTTGGAGTTAACAGTAGCATTAGGGCACAAAATCAAACAGTGAAATGGAATAAAAGAGAGAAAATGCAGATTATTAGAAAAATAACAGTAATTGTCAAGCTTCAGAACACAACAGCCATAGCAAGAAGTTAGGAAAATTGCAACAGAAACCTTGCTGAGGAGTTTTAAAAGTTAAAAGTATTTAGTTTTGCACTTAGTGTGCCAGCATCCACTGTTTGCCTTAGTATCCATACTTTTTGTTTCAATGCTTGTATTTAAGATTTAGATCCTACTGAAGCGTGATAGTTTCTTACATTGCTCACTGTGTTATGAGTCTGTACAACTGAAAGAAATAACAGGTCGAGTAAAATATGCAATAATACTTAAAACAGATGTTGACGTAAATTCCAGTCAAAAGAAAATATTTGTTTCAATGTATGCACTTTCTTAGAGCTTATTTTTCTTATATTGTGCAACTACTGTATCTAAAAGCAGAGATTATTAAGAATTAATTTGTTTAAAAAACAGTAAGAACTGATTCTGTGAATGCATATCAATGAACTGAATGTCCTGACTTTTAAAAATTCTGCTGCTTCACAGACACAAAAAATCAGCAACTACATGGGGGAGAGAAGGAGAGACTATCAGATCTTTTATCTTACTCTCGATATAAATGTCTTTGTATTGATGCAGTCCAAAACATATAAACTGTTGAGCCAATTATGTACTATTTCAACAGGAAAAGAACACTCTTCAACCTTTGAAATACTATATATCAAAATATTAATTGGGCTCAGAGCTTCAAAACCAAGTCAGAGGGCTGGGGAAAAGTTGTTAGCTGCTTTTAAAGATTTTAATTTCAGCATTTGTATTTATTTTCCTACTGATACAATGTGACCAAGACGCTATTGTGTCCAGGAGAAATGTATCCTGTAGTCACAGGGCTGAAACAATCTGATACTTTTTAAGGTTACATATCTGGAGTATTACATCTATTCCAGGTTCACAGACTTACATGATTTTCTGTTGGAAATTTTCAGTGGCTGAATCTGCACTTCTGGTCTTCTTAGTGCAAATCTCCTATAAAATGGGAGGTGGTGGGGGAAAGACACAAATTCCTCAGTTTTCACTGTAAGTTTGGGATTTATAAACACTTAACATCATGAGACTACTGCAAAATATCCAGAAGATTTTATATGAAATTAACTTAAAACCATGCAATCTATTCACAATCTAAAAAAATTAAATCTACAGCTCCAAATTTTTGTAAGCTCTCCAAAACCTGCTGCAGTTCTTATTCCTGCATAGCACATCAGTTTGAATACAGATACTGATGTGCTATTTTCCATATGGTTTTTCTTTCAATCTGGATCGGTGTTATCCTATCAGTTTTTGTCATTATTAACTCTAGCCAGAGAAATAAGGAAATCCAAAGTATTTCAGCATGTTTCCAAGTTCAGTTGTCTTGCTGCAAATGCACGTTTATCATACCCATGTAATCTATGAGCATTACACATGCCAGCTATGCTAAGCTAACAACCTAGCAAATCAGTCCCTTCTCAAAAAAAATAATGAAATTATGATTCTCAGTAGCTCACCTCTCCTGGAAATGCTTTGAAGGGATCAAGCCTGCTCTGGGATTGGCATCACCTTCATGTTTGGCCTGCCACCAGGTTGCATCATCCTGGCTCATGATCTGAAGGATATCTCCTTTTCTGAAAGCAAGTCCAGCTTCTTTACAAGGAATTGCTTTATCCTCATTAGGATCATAGTCAAATAGGGCTCTGATAAACATCTGAAACAAACCATGTTTTATCTTTAGAATTAAAATATTAAATGGAATCCAAAGATATCTCCCTTTTCTGTTTCTACTGTTCAAAACCATTAAACTAAAACCATGTAAACATTTACTGCTGTAAAACATCCTTATGGATGTCTAACATTAGAAGTTCATACAGAGAACATTCAATTCATTGCTTCTGCAACCACCTCAATGGAGTAAAAGCTCTAAGGCAAGCAGGACTTTGCAGGTGCAGAGTGTGCCCACATGAGGAACACAAGAGAAGGTACTTTGGAACCAAGATGCTATCCAGTGTCTTCTGCCTAGTGGATGATGGAAGAAAAGAAGTACTTGGGAGCAAGCCAGGTCCTCGCAGAAGATGGAGGATTACCTATGTCAACTACACAGCTGTAGAGCTTGGGCTTAAGAACCATGTTACACCCACTCATAAATTCAGCTTTTGCCTAATGAATTGTACAGTGCTACACATTGTCACACTACAAAAATTGAGTCCAGAGGCATAAATCCCATTCTTGCTTCTGTCATCCAAGCAAACAATACATATCCTCAGCCTAACAGTTACTGAAATAGTTTTACTTACCTTGCCTTCCTTCATTGGTATTTCTTCCTTCACACTGGGTATAATTTTAAATGTAATTGCTCCTTGAGACTGAGCCTGGGGAACATTTGAAAAGAAAATGCACTGAGAATTTAAAAAGAAAACTTAAAAGATAAAGAAATTCAAGTGAATTTAAAAATACTCAAATATAATGAATCAATCCTCTCCCAAGCATGATCCACAGAGTTTGACAACTTCACTAAACCAAACTTTGCCTCACAAAAGCACTTGAAATGCTTGGCTTTATTTGCTTCATTGGTGGGCAGAGATGGACTGTTAAAAACTGAGGCCTGCATGGTTCAGAGGTCCCAGTTCTGCACTGAAGGTAGGGGAAAATGCTACAGCTAAAATGTATGCATATTAGAAGCAAGTGCTGGACTCCTGGCATAGTTTGGACATCCCTGGAAAAATTGAACTAACATTTCATTTTTCAAAATAAAAAAAGATAGAAAAATTCAAACAGGCTTGTGCCATATTTATCATAGAGAGCTATTGGGGGGGATTTATTCGCTTGGCAACTTTAGGAAACTAGAAAAGAAAAACATATTTGAATATATTACGTGTACTAAATGGAAAAAAAGCCCTCCACTATAAATCTTAAAACAAGTTAGCCATCATCAACCACCTCATCCATTCATCTTTCCTATATCCCACTTAAAGTGTGTCTGGCTGCATTTTACTTATTAACCACAATATATTCCCACTGCCTCAGTGACACTTTGCTATTGAAGGAAGTGCTAATCAGTTGGAGCCTCTGCTACTATTGCATGCAGCCGACAGGTTTCATAAAACTCGCCGAGTGCAACAGCCAGCCAACGATTTAAGCAAAATGGAAACAGGCCTGTCCACTACCAAGCGAGACATAACTCCTGCCGCATGGCTGCGCTCCCAGAGCTCACTGCTGGACAAGCAGCCGCCAAGTTCTTATTCCACCCGCCGTAGGACTGGAATCAATAATTTTGGTACTTTTGAAACAAGCTCTAACTAGCTTTTGATGTTTTTTACTGTACCTCAAAGAGGTAAATGGGGAAATTGTTCACACCTTTTCTCGAGGTACTGTGTTTCTAGATATTTTTAAATATTAATTTTTGCAGGAAAATATGGCTGTGTAGCAAACACGAAACCATATAATAAGTATGAATATCAGCAGGCTAACACTTGAAATGAATCATCTTGCTTACTGAACTGAAACTGTGAGACACTTACTCCATTCGGCAGGAAAGTAAGCTATTTATGTATGCAGAAATGCCTACAGCATGAATAAAAGAGTTGTCATGACCCTCATTAGTTTCTTTATGTAAAAATATTAAATATTTCCGAAAAAGTCTAAATTACTTAATTTGCAATAGTGTTTCCTAAGTCAGTAATGAGCCCCACTTTAGAGACTGTGCAGATCAGAGGAGCATAAACAGAATATATATAGCTATATAATGCAAATAAATGCCAAATAAAATCTCAATAAACCAGTTATATAGTCTATCTAGTATATGTATTAGGAATTAACTGTCACACGGAGTTTGAATTCAACAGATCATGGTGGGCCTTAAAAACTGTAGATTATACACTGAAATCTGCAACATTCTGCAACATATTTATAGCCATATTACTGTATTTAACTCTTCACAAGTAATCCATAATTGCATATATATGTAATGAGTAGGAAATCACTCTTCAGAAGAAGGTTTGTTAATGATGGCACTGGAAGAAAAGACATTATATTAGAATATGCTTTTTTTCCTAAGAAATAAAGTAGAAATCATAAGTCTAATTACTTTTTCTTCACTCTCCTAAATTAATTTTAAAATGTTTGGTATTTACCAGAATGTGTATTATTTCTTCAGGTTTTTTATCATCTACAGGAATACCATTGACTTCCCTCAGCTCATCACCAACATGAATAAGACCTACAGAAGAAAAAGAGGAGTTGTGAAACTGTAGCTATGTATTATACAAAACCTGCCATTAACATTCAGTTATACACTTTAAGCTCTAACTTAAAAGGAGGAATATATGGCAAATATAACAACAGCTACTGTCCTCCCAGGTAAGTTGGAGATGGTTGGTTTACTCACCTCCCTGTCTTTCTCCTAAAAATTAGTACCATTTTTCTACAACTTTTCTGGACTTTTATGCAGAAGTTTCAAAAATGTCTGTGCCAATTCTTTTTCTTCTCATTCTACCTTCTTACTGCTACACAGCTGCAAGTACTGCAAAGATCACTCAGCTGTGAGTGCTAAATTGTGGCACAAATGCTTGCTAATTTATCTATCTATCTATCTATCTATCTATCTATCTATCTATCTATCTATCTATCTATCTATCTATCTATCTATCTATCTATCTATCTAGATTTACTCCACTACCCCCTTTAAGAGTAAAACACAGTTGTCCTAGATTCTCTTCAGGGAAAGAGGCACTTAAGTGTATAGTTCAGGACTTCTTGCAGACACCGATCGTCCCAAACTAAACCATGGAAGTCAAGGATGTGCTGTTATTTTGAGAACTACCAGCTGAAACTCCAAGTGGATGTTCTAATATAAAATAATGCCAGCACCCTGAGCTTTTCCATCAGCAGGTTGTAACCTCAGCATATCCCATCACAGTGTGATTCTTGGGGTGTCTGGCACAGTGACAAGAGTTGGACTCGATGACCCTGATGGGTCCCTTCCAACTCAGCACATTCTATGATTTCCAAGTGGACGTCTTCAACTGGAACAAACCATCTTAAAAATCCCACTGTATCTGCTAACTCAAAGACACCTCATTGCAACTGAACTGGGGAAAAAATCAGCGCGAATACCAGTATTAAAATATCATTTTGCAAAAGTGTCCAGAGCCAAAATACTTCTGTTTCTGATAGTATTTAATTGATGTATTTAATTTCTACCAAATATGCCATTTTATCTCATCTTATTCAGATGAGCAGCAACACCTTACCACTTCTGTCTGCAGCTCCTCCACGCATTATCCTGGCCACCACAATTGCACCAGTTTGTTCATCCCTTTTAATAGTAGCTCCCTTGGGTAAAAAAAGAAAAAAAAAAGGTTGTAAAAAGTTGACATTGTGTTAGTAAGTGAATAAGCCAGGAATGATACTTGCTCATGACAAGAACATACAAAATATGTTGCTTTATAACTATCCTCTTAAAATGTGCCTTCTTTTCCATTCAGAAGTAACACATGCATTCTGTGAGTTCACAGCTTTAAAAAAAAAAAAAGGAAAAATGGTGGAAAAAGTTTGCTTTTCAACTTAATGTGAAGTGCAGTGTACCTTACTTGAGTCTGCTGCTAAAATTGTATTAAACTACTGCTGAAAATTGATAAATAGTTGTTCCTACATTAAAATAGGCCACATTACAAACTATGGTACATAAAATGTATCTGTGTTCATAATTGTTGCACTTTATGGTCAGAACTGTCTGTGCAGCCACTGATCATCATTTTGCTTTACAATGTTATCAATAAATGAACATGAATTTGAGAAATGCCCCTGTATGTTGGGGCTCACCTGGAACACTCACAGGACAGAAATGCAGAGGAGGGGAACATTTCCGGAATTAGTCATGACTGTTTTCATGCATTACACAAACACAGTGCAAGGCATTGAGGTAAAAGAACATTGTGTAGTTAAAGTAGGTACTGTTCTATATTTGTTTAGATTAAACATGAATATCGTGTTTATTACTTCTTCAATTTTTAAGTCTTTTAGGAACATAAAGCTGAAAAATGTACAAATGAATAACAGGGTTGAGATTTCTCTAGTTAACAATTTTACTGACTGCAAATAAATTTGTTTCCCTTTCCCTCTCCATCAAAGATGGAAATATAGCACGAGTCATTAAGACAAAAAAGGGGAGATCAATTTATACTTTTTATATGCAAGTTGCATTTATTGCTAATAGACAAAAATTAAAACAGTCATCATATAATATTCACTCCAGCTGAAACTTCAACAGTAATCAGCACTCCACAGCAAAACTGACATGCTGTATTTGTGCACTTCATTTTATCTTACATTTATTAGTATAAAATTCTATCCATAGGCAAAGTAATTTTGCAAATTGCCAGCCTTAATTGTATGTATTGTTTATTATGTAATTATATCAGTAAGCATTTGTTTGCACTACAGTTTCAAATTAGTGTGAGAGTTTCAAAAACACAGATTTAGCTGCAGCTAATCTCACTTCAAAAACTCATGATCAGACTTCTGTGCAAGAAGAATTGCATATCATTAAGAATATATTAAACAAATGTATTTTTATAATTTATAAATTGCACATTAACAATTCTACCTTATAGCTCAATATTAAGTTCTGACTTTGCAGCAACAGCTACTGATTTGAAGTTTATTACTAATATCTGAAAAGTTCTATCCATTTAAAAGTAAAAGGTTTTTTTTTTTCTGAATATATCTATCAAAAAGAAATTAGGATGTTAGAGGCAAATATAAATACAGGGCATTTCCATTACATTATCCATATAAAACAGAGGCTCTCCTAACTAATGAGGGAAAAGCCTTGATCAGAAAGGCTTTATGCCTTTTACCCAGAAGTCAACACCAATAAATGCCATCAAATGCCAAAGGCAAGTGATGACTGACAGCCTGAAGTGGTTCTTCACTTCACCAGCCTTTTTAGACAGACCCTAGGAAAAAAAACTCGGTGCAATTGAAGCCCACAGGATTGACCCAGACAGCATCTGGAAGTAACAATAAGGCTCTTGTCCAAGTGGAACAGTCACTTCATGCTCCATGTGATTATCAGTACTGGCACAAAATTAATTTTCCTAGCACAGATTAACTGATCTGAAAGATAGCCCAGCAAAGATAACAGCTAAATTGGAATTTTCAAACAAAGGACAAAATCAAGTTCAAAATTAAAAGGAAATTATTTAACCTGAGTTTGTTCACTATCAGTAACTCCTCTATGGCAAACCCAAAGTGAATGGGCAGGTCCATGAAAAGCACTGTTTTGAGTTTATGCATTTCACTGCACCTATAGTACCCAAATTAAAAAGGAGGTTCCTAAAATTCCACTTCCCTCCCAATTTAGCACTCTTAAAAAGAAATCATCGAACACAAATGGATTTTTTTTTTGAAAACCTGAAGAGTTGATTTTCTGAAAAAGCAGCTTCTCTTGTGCTGCTGCCAGCCCTGCTTAAACTATGAGGTACATATAATCTGGCAAGAAATTCTCCTTATAAGATGTTCAGCTCCAGTACTCTCAGTTACATGTGCAGTGCAGCTCCTCATTTAGAGCTTTAAAAATGGAAGAAGGTTAGACTGGACCTTGAGAGCTGGAAAATATTTTCAGTGTTGTGAGCCAAAAGTGTAAGTTACCCTAAATGAGACATATACAGATGTAATAGCATAGCTCAGTTTAAAATACTTTTAAAGAGAAAAATAAGGAGTTTGGGAGCCATATGGTGATCAGACTGAGAAAATGCTTAAAGGTATGCCATGCAAAAGCACTAAAAATAATACAAGCTCCTTCAGCAAGGCTCTCTCACTGTTTTTTGGTCGCCCTTTTTTTTCCCCATTTTTAGTGTAGTACCACTGATTGGTAAGCATTGCTCAGGGTTTCACAGATGTGAGCTTTATTAGTTCATCCATTTATCTGCTGGTTCCAGAAGATAAACATTGTAAGTCTCTATTTTTAAAGAAGGAAATATTAGCCTGTAAAATAAATTACTAATAAGAGAATGTGAAAATATTTGAAAATTTGAAAATATTTCATCAGTAATATCATTGCACACCTTCCTGTTAAGCAAAAGCATGTGCAGATGTTGAATGCAAGTACTTCAATAAGCCTTATTTTAATTCATTCTCTATTGAAAGTGCAAATATCAGTTACCTAGCTTACAGAGTTATTTAAAAGTTGATGCCCACTTACATGTAGACTAAAGTTGACCCTACACCCAAATCAATCCCACCTAAAAAACAGTTGGCTTCATTTGCTAATGAGAACTGAGCTACAGGGACTAAGTGAAAGGCAAGTGAAAGCTGTAGAATCTGCACAGCTAGAACATGTAAATGAGTCTTTTAAATCACCACAATTCATTTCACCCAAGTTCAGCTATGGAAATCAGTTATGTGGTCCAAGATAGGTGTCCAAGCTACTCCTGTACTTGATGAAAACTGATAGGCAGCTCTGGAGAATGAATCATCCTTTCATTAAGTCAGGCACCTCAAATAGATGGCATGGTCCATTCTCTGGAGCTGCCTATTTTTCTCTTAACTAAAGACATGGAATGGCATAGAGGTTAGTTTCCAAATGGATAGATTTATGTGAAATTAATCTGCCTGATGAAGGAGCAACCATCTTACTGTGAAGAAGCATCCTATTCAGAATAACAGTTGGAACAAACTTGGAATATCATTTGGGAGCTGGAAGTAGTGAGAGACCAGGAACTGAACTCCTGGTAGCGTGGTTGAGCATCTCAGATATCAGAACTGCTAAGCAGGAACAGGGCTGTGGCTGAAAATGCCTTGGAGAGTTAGGCATAAGTAAAAACTCTCCAAGCTACCAGATAAAAAGCCATAAACTTCTGATAAAAAGCTATAACTATAGCCAGGTGAATTTTGCATTTTCTCTGAAAAGAGACGTTTCTACTTCCCTTTATGCAAGCTTCAGAGATATTCCAAATTTCTTTGTTAGAATAAAACCTCATAACACAATTTCACCTCACTTGAGGGAGACACTGCTAGAACAGCATTTGCAAGTAGACCAAATCAAACACCGTGGAAGGATTAACAAGTTTAAAACATCTCTTCCAAAACACTGGGGGAAAGTTCAGCACTGACTCCTGAACTGATGAAATCTGGCAAACAGAAGGCCCTCCCACAAACCATGTGTTTCCCTCTCTTTTGAAATGATTACTCCTGGGAACGCAGGCTTCATTCATATATGATTAACACTGGCTCAGAACACCAGTGAGGTGCTTAACTCGGAGAAAAGCACGAACAAGAGGAAATGTGGTGCAGTTTTATATAAAAACGGTCACTAAATATATTCCAGAGAAGTTAAGAGAGTGACTTATTTGCTTCACAGTGAGTACTGTTGAAAGTCATCCAAAGGAAATGCAATTCAGAATGTCCAGGGTGTGCAAGTGACATTAAGCTCATGGCTTTGCAGGGAAACAATCTCTACTGCTTGGGTACAAGTAGAGTAGAGACTGTGTCTGAGGTGAAGGAAAAGTTCAAAGAGCTCAGTATCTTCAAGTCAAGAAACCAGACAGTCTCTATGCCAGTAAAAAATATCATATGGTACCTCCAATCTCAAGCTCAGTTGCTTCTAGTAGTAGAATTCTGATAAGAATGCTGCAAGTGGAAGTCAGACTTTTTGACCAGAGAATAGTGAATAGATAAACCAAACAACTAGAAACTCTCTGATGTGTGTTAAGAATATCCAAGACTTTAGAATAAGTTCTGAAGGAAAAGCCATTAAAAGAACATGAAAATAAATAGAAAATTAAATTGTAATTAGCTCAGTAAAACATAGACCATAGCATATCCTTTCTTTAGTAAAAGAACTTTGGGAAGCATAAACTTCAGTAGATCTAATATAGTTTAAACATGTCTATTTATTCTGCCATGCTATATTTTGGTAAGACCTTATCTGAATTACTATCCATGTTTCTTCTCACCCTCACCTAAGGGGAAAAAAATCTAGGAAAGACAGAGACACAAATAATAGGTTTGTTATGTATTGTGGTGATGGTGTCATAATAAGTCACTATAAATCTACAACAACGAAATTAATGTTTGACATGAACATAAATAATTGTTCAAATGGATTAAAGGTGAGTTAGTGAAGAGAAGGAGGACACTATACACTTTTTCTTGAACTCTTCTCAGAGAGCAAGTAACACAACTCACCATAAGCTCTTCTCCAGTGAAAACAAAACATCAGGATAGGTTGAGGATCTGGAAAGATCACAAATACACCCTTCCCATACAGATAAGGTACAACCTTAGAAATGCTGAATAAAGGACAGCTTTTGGAAGTCATTCAGGCCAATCTCCTGCTCAGGGCAGGACTACTGCCAGCCCAGTCCAGCCATTTCCTTATGGAATAGGTTGGAGATTCCACAAGTCTGTTAGTCTGCACCAGTTCTGAACTTCCCACCTAATGAAATACATATATTAATTCTTCATTTAAACCTCCCAGGGCTGCAACTTGTGGCCACTGCTCAGTGTTTTAGCACCTTTCACTGCTGAGGAGTTTGCCTTTACTGTCCTCGGGAGCTCCCCCCTCTCAAGTAGTTGTAGGCTGCAATTAGCTCACGCCCTTTGCCTCCTCCTAGTAGCACAGATCTATGGCAGATTCCACTATAAGGCTGGTTTTGCCTTGGTAAATAAACAAAGAATCTTAAACTGAAGAAATGAATGTTTGGAACTTAGTCTTTATTGCTGGGTTTGTTTATTGTTTATTGTAGGGTTAGGAAACTATTTTCAGCTGTAACAGCGTTCATGACATGTACTTGTAGTGTCTAGTAAAACATCTAAAAACCCTCCTCTGTTACCTTGTTACCTCCTTAGCACAAGAGTTGTGCTAAGTGTGGATGCACCTTTTAAGGGAATGTACTGGTTTTGGCTGGGATAGGGTTAATTTTCTTCATGATGGCTCATATGGTGCTGTGTTTTAGATTTGTGATAAAACAGTGTTGATAACATGGATGATTTAGCTAATGCTGAGTAGTGCTTGAACACTCAAGGCCTTTCCTGCTCCCCACCTCACTAGTGAGGAGGTTGAGGGTGCACAGTGCACAAGCAGTTCGGGGGGCACACCCGGGACAGCCAACCCCACCTGATCAGGGAGATAGATATCCTACACCATATGCTGTCATGCTCAGCAATAAAACTGGGGGAAGAAAGAGGAAGGGAGGATGTTTGGAGTGATGTTATTTTTCTTTCCAAGAAACAGTTACAGCTGATGAAGCCCTGCCATCCTAGGCATGGCTGAACACCTGCCTGCCCACAGGAAGCGGTGAATGAATTCCTTCCTTCACTTTGCTTGCACGTGAAGCTTTTGCCTTACCTATTAAACTGTTTATCTCAACCCACCAGTTTTCTCATGTTCACCCTTCAGATTCTCTCCCCCATCCCACTGGGGAAAGTGAGTGAGCAGCTGAGTGGGGCTGAGCTGCCGGCTGGGGTTAAACAGACACACAGGAACCTGGAAGAGCTCAGTGTCCCACAGGAGTGAATGGGCAACAGTGAAAGTGGAGCAACAGTACAAGGATAACCTTTAGCTTAGGCAACTCTGTGCATCCCTTTAAGAGAGTTTAAAATCTCAAAAGCCAATAAACAGAGTATATATTTCATACGCATTTTCAGAAAATCTCTCAGTTTTGTTTTAAAAGTTACAATTATCCAGTCCATTTTGGGATACTATTAACATGGCATTCAACTCAAAAGTATTAGTAATGAATCATGTTTGTAATATGAAACTATGTAAATTAAGATTTTATTAAGTTTTTTCTGACAAATTAGAAAAAAAGGGTGTTTTCATTAATACTAAAAATAAGATGCTCAATTAGGCCTCAATTCATACTGTATGTTCAAATTTCCACACATCTTTCAGAATGAATAATCTTGCTGATACTAAACAGGAAAGCAAGTTTGTTTTCTTCCTCAAATAATTTCTTTGACAAAAAAAAATAAAAAGCTTAAAGTCATGATTTAAATATTTGGGGGGAAAGTATTTAGTATGTTAAAACAGTAAAAACTCTCCATATGGTCAAACTTGTAATTATGCCCACAGTCACCTACAGTCTGTCAAAATGAAAATCCATTTCTTGTTTACTGATGCCAGAAATCCTTCAAGAATTAGGGTGACAGTAGGGGACAAGCTACCCCTGTATGTCTAACAGAGGCATCGCTCTCCCACCGTCATCTCAAGTACAAAATCATGACTTTCTCAAAGTAACTTTGCAGATATTTCCCCAGGATTGCTATCCATTAAAACAAATAGCCAGTAGAACATAAAACAAAGCTCTAACTGGTTTGTAGGAGAAAAAGAATATAGTTAAATTTTATACAAGATGACTCCCACTCTACAGCAAATAAAAATAACCAAATCAGTATTTTAATATTCTTGTAATACAACCTAGGTTTAGTCCTTTCATTTTTCCAGATATCCCCATGAAGATATTACCTTTCTAGTATTCATAATGCAAAGTACAACAACAGACATCTTAAATTTGCCCAGATTTCAATTCAAGTATTTTAAAATATGTTTTTATGCTTTCTTTTCAGTGTATTGAAAGGTCACATTTTTTTACATGAATGCTAACAGGCACAGTTCACAACACAGGTCAAGATTTCTTTGGGGATTCATTCTCTGTCTCTCATTTTAAAATAAGTTCATGATTCAAATTCAAGATAAAATACGAATATGTTATTGATCTAAATGTGCAGACTGGCTCACATATACAATGCTTAAACACCGTGAATGAACAAAATCTTATTATTCATTTCATATGCTTTACTAAAAATGACTGCAAATAGAAGTCACAAGTGTATTACTCAATGTTATGAATAACACATTTAATGTCTGTCTATCCACATTTCAAGTTAATGTCACCCATTCACATTCATAATCTGAGCACTCTCCACCCTGCACACAAACACAAAACCCCAAACCAAAAGACAGGGTTACCTACCAAGGGCTCCCGGTTTTTGACAAGCCTAATTATTTTAACTGAATCTTCTTCTTCATCAATATCATCAGGCATGGGGGGCAAGACAGGATCATAGTTCTTCTGAGCAACAGTATCATGTACAGAGAGCAAAGCCTGGAAACATTAATAGTCAGTATATTATTTGGCATCTGAAAAGTTTAGGGAAGGCAAAGCAGAAGATATTATTTATAGCCTGACTCTACTACTGTGATGCATGTAGACTGAATATAATTCTTTTATACAGTTTTAACACATTTCAAACTGATGAAACAACTCCATAAAATATATGCTTCCATATATACAATATATGCAGTAGTAAATTGTGGATGGGGAACACTGTCTTCATACACAAAAAATACCACATGCTTTGCACATTAGCTTGAAATTACAAGAACTATGAGCAGGAGGAAACCTAAGTCTCCAGAAGTAAGACAATAATTATACTTGCCCTAAATAAAAAGTTTCTTTGATACAGCAGGGAGTCCTATCCAGGACTTCTGTTCAACCATGAGATGCATGACATGAGGATGTTGCCCAACTGTTTCCTCCACAGGAGCTCTGGAAGCTTCCCTGGTTACTGGATCCCTTTCATACTAGCTCCCTTTCATACGAGCCTCAAATTTTCTTGGGAATTTTTAATTTACTATGGAATTCATTATTGAGATTGAGGAATATTCTGCTGAAAAAGATTTGATTTAGGCATGTGTTTATGACCTTTCAGAAAATAAAAAGTCTTGAAAGGCAATGGAAAATAGAAAGCTCATTCTCCACATGCCCCCCCAAAAACCTCAGTGATAATATAAAATTCACAGCTTTTTCTAGATACAGAACTCTTAAAGTTCTTTTCTATTTTGAAAAGACTACATTATTTGTAATACCTTTTAAACTGGTGAAAAAATGGTTACATAATGCTTTTACTTTTGTAGAGAAAACTGTGCATTGTACCAGAAATAACAGCAACAGTCATACATGTAATTCTATCTACTTCTTTTAGTTGCTTCTGTTTTCAAATAGTTGCCTCTAAGTACTTGGATATTTTTCCCAGGAGTTAATATTACAAAAGCTGTAGTTTGAACAGCAGAAGTAATTTGCAAATTGATAACCTTCACGACAATAAAGTATTTTTGAAAATGTCAAAATGTTTAGGATGAAGCAGAACACATCACTGTTGTTGGCATGAATGACACTAGAAGGTATCATATCAATGACTGCAATAATTCATCAATTATAACAATTACAATAATGATTATGAAAAAACTCCTTAATAAAGACCAGAAAATTGTTACATTTCTCTGATGTCATTTACTTGCTACTTAATAATAGGCACACAAAATTTGACTGAGTACACGAATGATCAGAAACTGTATGTTCTCAAGGACAATGCAAACATTTTAAAAAAGCATGACACTTCCATTATGCTACTCTAGGATATTTTTTACGAATGGAGGAGACTGTAACAAGAGAAAACAATGTCCAGGCAATGCTACAAGCTATCATGTCTAAAGCTGAAGGCAAAGAGCATATGGTAATCTTGAAATTCTGAAGTTTAAATTTCAAGTTAGGGCTTCAACAAAATAAACACAAAGGAAGATCATGCCTGCCTCACGATAAATTGTTATTGTTTTACTAATTTTTATATTGTATAATTTGATAAAAATACTTCAACACACTAATTACTTCTGGTCTTCTTCCCAATACATAATTATGAATTTGTACTAATTACCATCAGAAATTACCATCTTTCTCCAACCAAAGACAAGTTTTACTTTAGATCTGAGCTAAAACCCCCAGGTTAGCAATTATGGAACCTCCTGGAAATGTTTATTGTGAGGTATTACACATGTAAAAGCCATGCAATCACATGCAGTCATCTTAAGATGTATGTGAAATATCAAAGATATACTAAAACAAAAGTAATGTTTGCTTTCACTACAGGCTACTTACAGTTAAGACTTCTAAAACTCTGCAATTACATTTTTCCACATAAAGCTAGGGCACATTCATGGACTGGTTCAATTTAATGAGGTTCTATATTGCAGTTTAAAAACAATCAGGTAGATAGAGAAAACAGATGAAAATAATCTAAAGCACCATTTTCAGAGTAAAAGGCAGCCACTTAAAACATGTTCAAAAGAACCTGCCCTTAACAATGAAATTTGTGAAATAGATTCTGTCCACTACTCCACTGAATTATGCCACCAGTGTTAATGAGATACTTCCCTGCTCTCACTGCCAGTTTAGGCTCCTGGATACTCCATGCAGAACAAGGATGCATCCCAAGCATTATAAACCAATGTCAATCAATGTCTGCTATTTATGATGCTTTTCTTCACTCACAATGACTGGAACTTATCAACCCACTCCCTTCTTCTCCCAAAGAACATATCAAACCACAGCATACTACAGTTTGCAATGTAAAATTTTTTCCCCAAACTCCAGCACTACTTTATCTCAGTACAAAGATACATATTTTAGATAAGAGTAGGAATGCCAGAAACAATGTGCCTTTTCTCAAACTTTCAGAAGAGGTTCTGTCATCACAAATTTGTTTATGCTGCACACTGAACCTGTTTGTCTTCCATCACTGCTTCTTATGCCACACTATTCTCTGTCCACTGTAGTTGCACTTGAAACAGTCATCAGCACAGATTTTGTGCACTAATTTGGAAACAAAACTTAAAAATGCATTTTGATTTCATTTAATGTATTCAACTAGAAGTTATCAGAGCCTGTCCTAGAGAGCACTTCTGTATATTTTGAACACATAAAGAAACAACTGTATTCACAGAGTAAAGCAACATTTCTTCAGCAGTATCTTTGTACCATTCCACTTAGTCCAAAAAACTATGTATTGGACTAGACTTGTATAGGAAAGTTTGGGACTTTTTAAAAAGCAAACAAATTACAAATGCCAAGATCCTAAGATGATCCTAAGATGATTAAGATTTACCCAGAATAATTTTGCAGTAAATGCACAAGGCAATGCAAAGGTAACAATGTTCTCTTTTTGTACATAAGAAATTATCAACTTACTAATTTCCACTATACTAATTTTTTACGTGTCAAAAGAGACTGCTAGAAGTGCAGATCAATTTTTATTTCTTTTTAATGTTTTGGTTTTGTTTTCAAATACACAGCTCTTCGGAACTATGCACACTGGATCCAAGATTTGGGTCATGTATATTTAAGCACCTCTGGAGAAAAAGATTTTATTTCAGCTCTAAGTTCTATATTTATGATTCACTAATGTAAACATGGTCCATATTTAGGACTTGAAAGAAGGTATGATTCAAGCTCCTGCACTACCTAAATATAAATATTGATGTTCAGCTAAATTCTTAGACATGATCTAGCTGGAAACGAATACCTTCATCAAACCTCTGAAATGTCTAATAACTAGTGCTTATTTTTCATATTAAAACTATCGCTGATCATTTCACAGTTTATAAATTGAAATTTTACACTATCAACTTACATAAAGAAAATCTGACATTGGAAACATTCTAAGTTCTTTTTCTTAAACTGTTCTGAAACTTTAAATGTTTATTTAAATTGAGACTGTTATTAATGAAAACAGTTCTACACTTTGAAAAATGTGTATTACTTACCTACACTGAGTATGCTTTTGCTCCTCTAAAACAATGACAAATGCTACATTATTTCTTGCTTCTGTTTATGTTTTGAGATCCGTAAGAGTACGGATACGCCAAGTAGCCCCTGACTCATCAACACAGCTCCTTATGTTTTTTAATTCTCATTATTAAAAAAAAAATCTCCATTTGAGCTTTGCTTTTCATAGGTATTTTGCATTGAGTAGTCTAAAAAATCATTTCAGAAAATAGTAAGGTAAGGAAGCAAGACAGAATGGGCAAAGAAACAAAAGCAGCCTCTTTCTTAATAGTACTTGGAAAAAAACAAGATTAGAAATTTAAACAGTGAATAGTCGTCGACAGAAAATTTGTAGGGACTCAAACCAACCTTCATGAAAGCCAACAGCTGCAGCAGCCTGTGACACTGCCAACCCAGCAGCTGGCCACCGTGCCTACGGAGCAGATCACTGCCCTGGCAGCACAGTCAGCAGAATGGAACAAAATGGCCCATGACTTTGCTGTCCCAGTCCACAGCTTGGATCATTAGCACCAGCCACCTCCTCTGGCAGTTCAGCTTGAACTCCATCAGGTGAGACAGAGGTATTTTCCCACCTCTTTGCTTTGCCATGGTGCCAGTAACTACCACTGAGGCTGGTACAGAGAAGTTTCACTGGAGGAGAAAAGTAACCTCAGCAGCAGCCACAGCAATGTGCTCTGAACTCACTTGGCAGAGCTCATCCTCCAGAGAGCTCTAGCCACAATATGTTTTCCTTTGTGATAAGGTTACAGATGAAATAAAGACAAGATGAAAATGCTGGTTGAGAAAATTATTCAAGATTGGAAAGTTTAGTTTATGAGTAACTTGCACAAAATTAAAGTCAAGTCATCCAGCAACAGGCGTCAAAGAGGAAAAGGTGAAAGAGTTGGGAAGAGACTGAACCCACTGAAGGAAAGACCGTCAAGAGCATCAGAATGGAAGGAGATGCACGGGAGTCACAAAAGCCAAACATGTGCAGGAATTTAGAAAGCAGAAGAATAAACCAGCAGAAAGCTGAAGCATGATGGTGATGGCATACAGACTCCAGGCACAGAAAATCAATTTGACTTGAGAACAGTTTGGAGAGGAAAGGGATAAAAACATGAGGTTTCAGAATCAAGCTATACATTTAAGAACAACTGGTAAGCAGCACAAAATTAACAGGGAAAAGGGGAGATAAGAAGTTTGATAAGAGATGGGGGAACAACCTTTCTTCTATAGGAGAATTACTCTTTAAACCTACTATTTTGAGTACATGACTTTACATGGATGTATTGATGAATTCCATCCCACTAATTCTATTCCCCAACAAATGGGTGGTAAAACAGCCCTCAGAAATCAGCAGCACATGGCAGTCTCTTAACTACCAACACTGCCTGTTAAGGGAGTATGTGCAACCCTAATTCTGATGCAAAATATGGGTTAATAAGATAACAAGAAAGGCAGGTGAGAACAGGTATCTCAACTAACAGATAAGAACAACCACA